AATTACCAATAGAGGAAGAAGAAGCCGTGGACATCAATTGAGAAGGGCCTGAACGTGAAGTTTGGTTGTAATGAAATTCCTGCAGGTATTGTGGAGTTGTCCTTACCCTTTATGACCTGCGAAAAAGGGGTTGAGGAGGAGAAGCTGGTGTGGAAAGTGAGGGATTAGTAGTGGGAGAAAAAGTGGAAGAGTTATGTGATGGTGTAACATGTTGTTAAGATGAATCTGGTACAGGTATGGAGGGTGGGGTGGCGGGATGGTGAGGGGATGGACTGACTTGTAGAGAGGAAGAAATTGTGGAAAAATCAAGTGAGTCTGATAAAAGTTTAGTGAAAACAAGGGTGAGGATTGGAGAAGGAGTGGATGGGGGATGAGGTAAAGATTGAAATGGAAAGATGGACTCAAGAAAAAGCACCTCCCGAGAGATAAAGGTGGTTTTGGACTCAAGATCAAGCAATTTATAACCTTTAATTCCAAAAGGATATCCAAGAAAAATGCACATGCGACCTCGGGGATCAAATTTTGTTCTTCCTTGTGAAAGAGTAGCAGCAAAACAAAGAGACCCAAAACCTTTTAAATGAGCATAAGTGGGTGGAGATTTAAATAAAAGTTCAAAGGGTGTTTCGCTTTGAAGAAGGAGACTAGGGGTCCTATTGATGAGGTATGTGGCGGTCAAAACACAATCATTCCAATATTCAAGAGGAAGACCAGCTTGGAATTTTAAAGCACGAGCCACATTAAGCAAATGTTGGTGTTTCCTCTCCACAACTCCATTTTGTTGTAGAGTGGCAACACAACTTGTTTGATATAGGATCCCTTTTTTTATGAAAAAACTCTTTCATTTTAAATTCTTTACCATTATCACTTCTTAGAATTTTGATGGTAAGGTTGAATTGGTTTTCAATCATATTGGTAAAAGACTCAATGCTGTTTCAGGTGGCAGCTTTGTTAGGAAGAAGATACAACCATGTACTCCTAGTGAAGTCATCAACTAAAGTTAAAAAATACTTTGAGCCATCATAAGCAAGAACAGGACTGGGTCCCCAGAGATCACTGTGCACAATTTCAAATGGTATTGACGTCTTATGTTTGCTTTGAGGAAAAGGAAGTCTATGAAGTTTTGCCAATGGACAAATGTAACAAGGCTTTGTATTAGTAGTTGAAATGTTTTTCTTTACAATAGGATCTGTAATCATATTCAAAACATGAAAAGAAAGATGGCCTAGGCCACCGTGCCATAGGTCAGTAACATTTTCAGTGTGTGAAACATAAGTTGTAGCAGACTTTATAACTGTGGAAAAGTGAGAAAGAGTGGTCACCAGGGTAGAGGGAGAGACAGCTGTGTTAAGCAGATGATATAGACCACTCTTCACTTCACCCTTCCCAATCGTTGTCTAAGATGAAAGGTCTTGAATAAGGCAAAAATCAGAAAAAAAAAAAAAAAAAAAACTAGACAACAGTTGAGATTGGCAGCCAACTTCTTGGCTGAAATTAAATTAAAACTAAAGGAAGGAACACATAAGACTTCGGTGAGGTGAAGTGAGGGTGTTAAGTGAACTGTGCCCGTGTGTGTAATAGGTACATTTGTTCCATTTGGTAACTTAACATAGTGAGAAACTGGAGAATTAATAGTGGTAAAAAAAGAAGTACAACAGATCATATGGTTAGTCACACCGGTGTCAATTATCCAAGGAATTTCTTGTGGGAATGAATGATTGTGTATGCAAGTGGATAAACAATGTGAAATACTAGAAATGTGAGGAGTTGACTTAAGAGGAATGGTTGATTGAATCTGGTTGACAGAGGACTGAGCAATGGTGGAGGCCTACCGTGGTTGAAGTAATGCCATTAATTGCTGATATTGTGCCTGAGTAAGACCTACTTGACCATCACTGGAGTTCTCAAGGTCAAAGTCCATAGGAGCAGTTTGAGCAATAAAAGCATTTGATCCTTGAGATTTATTGAAAAGTTTGTGTCCGGGGGGGGGGGGGGGGGTAGCCATGGAGCTTGTAACACTTTCCAAACATGTTGCAATGAGAACAAATGGGAGCCTTAGCGTTACCAACCTTGAAACAAGTTTCAAAAGAGTGTCCTGTGATCTTGCAGTAAGAACAGTAGGCTCAGTCTTTCTTTGATTTATGTTGAGATGGATTACGGGTAGGAAATGAGTATGGTTTGCGAATGCGAAAGGCCATGGAGTCAGATGGGTTTGAAGTGGGGGTCATTTGATAGTGGTGTTCCTGCTGTTGAATGAGAGAAAAGACTTTTGTGATGGGTGGGAGGTGATCTAAGAGCATTATCTGGTCTCGAACAGGGGAATATGTGTCGTTTAACCTAGCAAAAATTGAAAGACATAGTCTCGTATCGGTCTAAGAGAGTTTTCATCGATCCACAAGAGCAAACTAAAATTGGGTCATAAATAGGTAACTCATCCCAAAGAGATTTAAGCCTTTCGTAATATACACTTACAGTGTCAGAGTCTTGTTGAAGGCTGGCAAGGGTCTTCTTGAACTGGTAAATACGAGGTCCATTTTGATGGGAGAAATGGTCCTGAAGATCAAGCCAAAGGTCACGGGCATTGTCCATGAAAGCAACGCTGGGTCTGATGGAGGGGCTTATAGAGTTCTGAAGCCATGAAACCACCATATCGTTGCAGCATTCCCATAAGTCGAGAAGAGGATCATCGGAGTCTGTTGGTTGAGAAATGGAACCAGTGATGAAGCAGATTTTATTTTTGGCTCGGAGAGCTCGTCTCATCGCACGAGACCAAGTGGGGTAGTTATTGCTGGTAAGAAAGTCGGTGACCAGAACGACGACAGGGTTGTCGCCGTTGTCCAGCCAAAATGGGTTGCTAGGGTCGATGAGTTTCAGGTATTTGGCCATGTTTGTGGCACGGAAGGTGTTTGATATTTGGTTTGAATGAGCTGAGGAATTTTTGGAATTGTTGGAAGAAGAACAGTTGGAACCTTCGAAATCCTCCATGGGTGGCTCTCAGGCTCTTGATACCATGACAGAAATCATAATGGTGAGAAGGAAAAGCAGAGAGCAGTACACAAAGGATGAAGGAAAAAATTTCTGTATATTCCTCAATGAATCTACTGTGCATAATGTTGTGGGTATTTATATCCCTCATGTGTAACAAACTAACCAACTCTGTACTGCAACTAATAATAAAAAATGTATTTACAAATGAATAGAAAACAAGGAAACTAGTGTAATTACAAATCAGTCATTTTTTATATTTGTGCTAAGACGTCTTGTAATTTAATTCTCTGTACTGTGTAATAGTAACAAGCATTATTCATAGACCAAAATGTCTTTTTCAGTAGGCACAACCATCGCTCTCCCCCCATCCCCAACGAAACCACTACCGTTGCATCCACCCATTTGATAAAAACCCATAACACACACACCCATGTCGATTGCGAAATTGTGCATCTCAAAATGGAATTCTCGTGCCCAACTGTATACTGTTCTTGCTGCTGGGTTGGGTGTGTTAATAGTATACATTCCACTGATGGTACAGGATAGCAACACCGCCAGCTCATCACTCAAAGGCCACTTCAACAATGAAACAGAGATCCTCTATAAATACCTGCCTTGATGTAATCTCACTTCAATAATCAATGAAAAACACTTCACGTGTTCTCTTCTTCTTCTTCTTCTTCTGTGTTCTCCATCTTTCTGTCAGGGTGGTGTGTGTTTGTGGTGCTGGGTTGTGTGCAATTGGAAGTGGAGTAGGAGGTTGTTGTGGTGTTTGGCAGAAGGTGCAATGAAGATCCCGATTTGTTTTTCTTTGCTAGGATCTTATTCTAGTGTGGTGTTGATGGTGGTGGTGATCTGGGTTTTGGGCTGAAGGCAAGAAGTTTGTATTTCAAATTTTTTTGAGGCTACAAAATATATTTATTGAAATTAAAAGCAAGAGAAGTTAATTGTAACACGACTTAAACTTGAAAGACACAATGTGTAATTAACCCAATTCTAAATGCACAAAATTGTCCGCAAACCAGGGGTCAGATAAACCGACAATATGTGGCTGGAAAAATTCAAAATCAATGCGTAAAAATTTATGTCTCACGTCTTATTCAACTACTAAACCAACCCACACTGTTTCCACTTAATACAAAGCAACTTTGTCCAAGGCAGACCGACAAAAGGATGGATCCTCCGGGAACCTGAAACTCACTAGTATATCCTCAAGAATCAAGGAATTCACAGGTAGAATGGCTTCATTGTATAGAGTAGGTACGTGTGGGTTCACCGCCCTTTTTGGTATGAATATTTTGTCATACTATGAGAGTAGTATCGATCATTTAGGAAGTCGGATTCTGGTTGTAACACTGGCCCAATGAAATACTTGTCTATATACCGTGGCACACATACCTTACTCTCTAATACTTTATAGCTTCTTCCTAAAACGCAAATGCATCTACAAATCATATGCGTCGGTTAAACCGAATTTATCGATTACTCGACTCAAACTCGAGATTACGCCCAATATTTTTCCACTGAACCAGCCCTCACTATTTAAAACTTTAGTTGTCCAAGTAAATGATTGATTCCTCGAGCAAAGCCCACCAATATGGCCTTTGAGCACATTCCAAAATTCATTGTTAGAAACTTGGAACAATAAACAAATAGACCTTTTCTGCATAAAAACTTAAGACAACAGTGAAAGTGACTTGCAGAGACAACACCAGAAACAAAGCTTTTAGAGCTATGCAAATGTGTCTTAGGGAATATACAGGTTGGACGCCGAATAGAACAAGTCGCCATTGTTTTTCACACTACCATGTGGCACTGTCTCAATGGTTCAAGCCGGCCATTTTCTTCCTTCCTTTATATTCACCCAAATGTTACCTTCTTCCTCACTTACTGCAACTTTCTCTTGGCGGGTTTTGTTTTTCTCTCAAAATCTATCAAGAAAAAGCAGGAGGAAAAAAATATCAACAACTCATTAGAGAAAAAGAGAGAACAAGAAAAACTAGCCTGCTACAAAGATGGACAGGCTGATAAGTTTAGAGCCATCAAACCTTGTAGCAATCAGGATTGAACCTGGACAGAGGTGTTATGGCGAGCTTGTTTTGCGCAATGTTATGTACACCATGCCAGTGGCCTTCCAGCTTCAACCAGTGAACAGGACTCGTTACACGGTCCGACCACAAACTGGGATCATATCTCCCCTCAAAACCCTCACTGTAGAGATCACTTATCATCTCCCTCCTAATTCAAACCTTCCCAACTCGTTTCCTCGATGTGAGGATTCATTCCTCTTGCACAGCGTTGTGGTTCCAGGTGCAGCAGTTAAAGATCCCTCATCAACATTTGATTCAGTCCCTATTGACTGGTTTACCACAAAGAAGAAGCAAGTTTTCATTGACAGTGGTATTAAAATTCTGTTTGTTGGCTCACCAGTGCTGGCTCAACTTGTCACCAATGGCTCCATGGAGGAAATTAGAGAATTACTTGAGAAGAGTGACCCAGCATGGAAGGCAGCCGACTCGGTTGATGCAGATGGTCAGACATTGCTTCACTTGGCAGTTGCTCAAAGCAGGCCTGATCTTGTCCAGGTACTTCTTGAGTTTGAGCCAAATGTAGAGGCTAAGAGCCGATCAGGGTCTAGCCCCCTTGAGGTGGCGGCATCATCAGGTGAAGCATTGATTGTAGAGCTCCTGCTGGCTCATCGAGCCAGTACAGAGCGATCAGAGTCCTCCACTTGGGGCCCAATTCACCTTGCTGCTGGAGGCGGTCATATGGAGGTTTTGAGGCTTCTTTTGCTCAAGGGTGCTGATGTTAACACAAACACGAAGGATGGGAAAACAGCTTTACACCTTGCAGTCGAAGAGCGAAGAAGGGACTGCGCAAGGCTATTGTTGGCCAGTGGGGCAAGACCTGATGATCGGAACACTGGCGATAGTGACACCCCATTGCATATCGCAGCTGCCATAGGTGATGAGCACATGGTCAAGCTGTTACTGCAAAAGGGAGCTAACAAAGATATCAGAAACCGCTTTGGAAAAACAGCTTATGATGTTGCAGCTGAGCATGGCCACACTAAGCTTTTTGATTCACTTAGTCTCGGGGACAGTTTGTGTGCGGCAGCTCGGAAGGGGGAGGTAAGAACAATCAACAGGCTTCTTGAAAAAGGAGCGGCCATCAATGGCCGCGACCTCCATGGATGGACAGCACTACACCGAGCTTGCTTTAAGGGACGCCTAGATGCGATCCGAACTCTGATTGACAAGGGCGTTGATGTCAATGGGAGAGACGAGGATGGCTACACGGCCTTGCACTGTGCTGTGGAATCAGGGCATGCCGAAGTGATTGAATTACTGATAAAGAAAGGGGCTGATGTAGAAGCAAGAACCAACAAGGGTGTATCTGCAATGCAGATTGCGGAGTCACTGCACTATTCAGGGATCACAAGGATACTCATTCAAGGTGGTGCCACTAAGGATAGAGTCCCAATGGTTACTGCACCAACAAAGAAGGAGTCACAGTCATTTAGAAAAGGAATGGGGGCTCAAGAGATGGAGATTGGAACATTCAAGAAGAAGCCTACTAGAGCCAAAGTCCTGCGTAGTAGCTTTAATCGGTCTGGGCAATTAATGGCTGTCCTCTAGCTTGTGTGAGACAATGGGTTTTTTGCTTCCTACATGAGAGCTCAAACTATTCTTTCTTAGCTGATATTTGTGGAAGTTGTAAACTCACAACTGTTTTTCTGCTCTTCGTTATGTTAGATCCAAGTAGATATTCTTACAATAAGATACTAGAACTTGAAAATCGTTGTAATTCTAGAGTTCCTCTGTGTAAAATGGTATCGATGATACACAGGCGAGTGGCATTGTAAGAGAATCTCCATTTCGATCTGCGCTTGGCAGATCAAGTAATTTCTGTGTGTAACATGAATCAATATCTATGCATTTGAATAATGAACACTCCAATCTACATTCTACAAGCTTGTAGAACAGGATCATGATGTTGAGTCCAAATTTGTCAATTTTGGTTGAGTTGAATCTTTTGCCTTGAATTAATTACACCCCACCATTATGTTTAGATGAATCTCAAAAATCCAGGCAAAATTAGAAATTGAAAGGATTCAAACAGCATAGATCACAAATACGCCATAGATTTTAAGGCTGGACAATCTCTTTTCTCCATATGAATATTATTCCTTGTTTTCTAAGCTGATGAGTACAACACAGTGGCAAATACTCCAAGGAAAAACAACACCATTTGAATCTTCCCACATAACAGTATTAAAATAGAAGAGAAAGACAAAAGAATGTCCAGCTCTTTTCTCCATATGAGTATTATTCGTTGTTTTCTAAGCTCATGAGTACAACAAAGAGTGGCGAATACTCCGAGGCAAAATAATACCACTTGAATCTTCCCACATAACAGTATTAAAATAGAAGAGCAAGACCAAAATATATTCCCATATTAACAAAAATTCTTCAGGAATATTCAGATTAAAGATCCTTTGGTCTATCATAAACTTTATGTCTGCCCCCTCCTGAAGATATGGTTAGCAAGATGATATCGGTTAGGGCAGCATTAAGTCCATCATCTTTTTGGCTCTATCCACAGTTCCAAGAGTAGATGCCCATTTAAAATTCACTTATTCACCACTTCTATGAAATATAAGCACTTTTCTGAAGTGGAATACGCAGTTTTTAAAATTATTACATATTTCAAAAAGAGCATACCTTTGTATAAGTGAAAGAATCAAAGATCTAATAACTGAACTCAAGGATGCCAGATATGGGGTACATCTTGGCAAAATCTGTGAAATAATATGTATATGAATGCTAAGATTCAAACTGTAGTAAAACAGACGAAGATACTGATCAAGGTGTGAGATATATTAGTTCTAAGACGTGTGTGGCACACTCTGAGGTGTTTGCACCCACACCTTAAAACTAACCCCACTGAAGAAAACTGAGTACTAGATCATGGTGGTCACCACGGCTAATGAATTGAAGTCTAGGTTCAGCATCAGTGAATTTTTTTGAAATTTAATGTTCACAAGAGTTGGCCTATACATGGCTGCCTAGACATATTTATTATATTTCATGCAGTTTTGTTTGATTTCTATATGTAATTTCATTGTTTGAGAGGTCAGACTTCGACCAATGACAAAGGCTCATTTGTCCAAGTGATTTGACATGAATTCGAATCCAAGAAATATCCCCTAAAAATGAGATAAAGTTGCCTAGCACTTACTTCTCCCAAACTCAATCATAGTCAACAAAGTTGTGCAGTAGGTACGATGATGCTGTTAATGGTTACGAATCCTTTATAACAAGAAATATATTTGTTGGTACATATCATTTTCGTATTAAGGTTCCATAACATGAATCAATAAAACTCAACTATAAACCGTTTATATATTGTGGTTTTTTTTTATAAATAAACAGAGAGATTCTGCCCACTTACATGCAGATGGTCCAAATACAATTATTAGACTCGTAGGAGTTGCAATGCCTAATTACTTAATCCCCTTAGTCAGGGCTATAAATGAATCTTGGCACCAACAACATGTGTGTTTTTTTGTCACCCATGATTTTAAGGTCCAACAGAACCTCCATCGACAAGGCATGTAAGTGAAATTTCAAATAACGTAATTGTGTCTTTCAAGATACAATTAATTATGAGGGTGTAGATGAAAACACTTGGCATGACATCAACAATTTGTGAAATGTAGTAACGACCAATTATGCCAAGGGTTGTGAAGGAAACGGGTACATAAACAACAAAGGAAGCATTGGAGTTTCAGATAATATGAGGGGTGTGCTTGAAATTAGAATAATATACAGGGTGTCGGTCAAGTTTTCCCAAAACATAAACCCTCATTATAAAACCCCCATTGAAGTAACTGTGTAACCAATTATTGCCGGCGAACCAGCCCGGCGATTGCAGAAATCACAGTTACCCACGAACCAAAACCCACAAAACCTAATGCCCAGGTGTTTATCGATAATAACATTCCAGTACACAATTTCACTCGGAAGAATTAATGAAGTTCTTGATCGAAGTGGAGTCTTGAGTTTGGAGTTCAGAAGACCTTACTGGTGGACTTGGAGAAGTTAGTCGAGGTTCTGTGTTGTTTAACTTGGACACCATCTGGGTGGATGATGGTCTCGGTTGAAAACGACGCAATTGCAGAATTATTGAACGTTCGACTGGTGTTGGAATCATTGCAATGATGGCAGATAAAATCACATTTAATATAAAATATATGTGCATTGATGTATTTCCTTGTTGCTAATGACCAACCACTTTCAAATAAAGTTTAAAGACTAAAGATTTTTTTTCTAATAATTGTGAATTACCAACCACTTCAAAAGCTTATTAAGAAGTTATGCATTCTAACGATGCTGTTCACATACAAATTGAGTTTTGGACTAAACCCATGAAAGTCTTTCGATTGTTAGGATGGCGGTAAAAATATTTTCTTTGACTCTGTAATCTTTATTTGGTTCAACTACTGATTTTGATTTGTTTGTGTAGTGAATACTAACGATAAACAGAATATCCAACTCTTTTAAAATTTACACATGAAATTACAAAAAGAGAGTCTTGCTGCAGGCCAATTAATTTAGAGCGGCTTTACTTTCAATTCAATAACACCGAACAAAAAAAATTGTACATATACAAATTTATGTCAACTATAGAAAATCAATTATACATGTGAAATTATTCTAAAAGTTTGAAGGAAGAAGGGAGGGGGGGGGGGGGGGGGGGGGGGGGGGGATGCCTTGGTTCAAGAGGAAAGAAAGTAGAATGTCAAAGTTTTGTTAGGGCTATACACCACTGATAGTTACAGCAAAGACCATTGAGTTTGTAAGTAGCATTAGGTTTCTGTAAGAGGTTGGTGATGAAAGCGACAAAATAGGACCAAATACTTAGAATCTAAAGATATACAAAGCAATTACATAACAAGTTTTTTGTTTTTTGTCGTCAGAGAGAAAGGACAGAGGAGCGATCAGTAAGTGGGAAATCTATTGAGCGTGATTACGAGGGTCCCTCGGTATAAAATATTTAATTTGACTCATAATTATTAATACGGAATGATAATTTGTCATCATAATTTTATTCAAGTCAAGCATCAAGTCGCGTTATTCTCGTGAAATCGAACTTTATTCGATAACGACATTAGAGTCAAGGACAATCATAATGGTCCGTTTGATAGGATAGATAAAAAAATTGAAATGATGAATACAAAAATGAAAGTGTAGAAAGTAGGAGTAATATATTTTTCAACCTTCAAAAAAGGAATGTTTTACTTCCCTCCTCTGTGTTTGGTAAGAGGAATGAAAAGTAGGAAATATTAATTTTTAGTATATTTGGTAATATGAAAAAAGAATTTTATATTATTTATAAAAAAATATAAAAAAAATATTTTATTATCTATATATTAAATTAATGTATGCATAATATGTAACTATCAAAAGATATATAAACAAATAATATATATTTAAATTTAAACACACATAATTAATTTTACATCTATCTATTTTTTTCATCCTTCTTATTTTTTTTTTTATCAAATATGATATTTTATCTATCTTTTACCTTTTCATCCTTTCAACTTTCCATCGTACAAAACGGAACATAAACGAATATAACTTACCACTAAACCACCACCTTAGGTTTCAACCACCTCATTTTGGATCCGTATGTGTGGGGACTATTTAAACACGAATTGAATATTATTTAGTGACCAACTTGATAAAATTAATACTTTAAAAGATCAAACTGATAAAACGTATATACTTAAAACCAAAAATATTATTAATCCCAAAAAACATTAAAAAATTCTTTTGGTCTTCGTCTAATTTATTACCATTTGAAGAAAGAATATTAAATTTTCACTAATCACTTATAAAATATATTTGTTGGGGGGAAAAGAGGGGAGAGGAAGGGGGGGGGGGGGGGGGGGGGGGAAAGCAAATAGGGGAACATAGTGCCATCCTACTCAACCATCAACCTCACTTTTGTTTGTTCTGTTTCACTTTATCTGTGCTTCAAAGGCAAAATTTTAAAAATGGTTGTTCCTATTCCAAGGACAATGATGTGTCATGCCCCGTGAAAGCCCAAATGCAGCCAACCTATTTATCGTGTTATACAATTTTGAATTAGAATCTAAAAAATTTTATTATTAAATTCATATTATATTTAGCATATAAAATTTACAACACGTGATTTTAATGATGTGTCATATTAGGTCCGTCAATTGTGTAAGCTGACACTACTACTTTTAAGTGGCCGTGTTGTAGCGGTCTTGTGTGTGTGTTTATCGTTTTATTTGAAAAAAGTAAGTGCTCGGAACTTGTGTACGTGCGTTAGTCCCACAGGCCCGCTGTGGTTCCAGTTGATACCGAATGAGGAGTAGGGGTTGGACCTATCCCACATCGGATAGCGTTGAGGTTGAATGTGTGTGTATAAGGCTCTATGACACTATCACTTTTAAGTGGTAGTGTTGTAATGGTCTCATGTGTGTGTATTTATCGTTTCATTTGGAAAAAAAATTGTGTAAGCTAAGGTAGATTTGTGTCGGATTTTAGAGGGTTCATGTCAAATATTTTTTTTTATTTATATTCGATTTGTGTTATTAATTCGTGTATAACGAATCATGTTATATTAGGTTCGTATCGTATATAATGTGTATATAAATTAACGAGTTATGTCGTGTATTTTTTTTAATTGACTTCACTCATATTCAATTCGTTTATTAATTGTATTATATCAGGTCAATTCATTTATGAAAACGAGAGGTTAAGAAAAATTCAAATTTTTTAATTTTATATTTTATTAATGAATTATATCATATTTTGACAATTATTGATATCTGCAAACAGCAAGTACGGTGATGGTGGTTCACCACCGACACCACCGTGAGGGACACGCACTTTGCACTTCCACCCCATGAATCTGGCCCGATTCCTGGTAGACAGGCATTAGCCCTCACTGTGCTCTGAGTGTGTGTGTGTCCCACAACCCCGAGAGTAAAGCTGGCAGACCAGAGCTGAAAAGTTTTCCAATTTAGAATATTTGAATTTGGTTTGCTTAATGAAATTTTTTTATTAATTACAATAATATTATTTAAATTTAATTTATTAACTTAATTTATCATAATCATCGAAGTACAGTAAATTCTAATCAATATTAGAATTTTTCATTTATTCAATGACAACGATTGATTAGATTAATAAATTAACTCTGTAAATTAAAATAAAATCAATACTCTCTATACTAATTCGTAAAAATAGTTTTAATGGGATTTTTTTTCGCTTTGGCTTAAAACTAAAGTGAAAAAAAAAAATTGGAACAAATTTAATAACTACTTTTCAAAATTTTATTCTTGCGTTTTTGTGTGTATACAACACAATTTTACTTGTATATTTGTGTATTGCCATATATGTTGTTAAACATGTTTGGGAAAAAAAATGAAACCAAATTTAGCATTATTCTTTAAAAAATGTAAGAAAGCGAAACAAAATTGTTTTTTTTTTTTTTTATAAAAAAAAAGTAGTAATTTTCTTTTTGTCTTTTGAAGGTATTTTTGGTGCATATTAAATGACAGATATTTTGTTAAGAAAAAAAAATTAAACAAGAAAACTAAATTAAAATGTTATCCAAGAGTAGGATTGATAATCAAGTCGAGTTAGTCGGGCTCAGCTCGGATTCAACTCGTTAAGAATCGACTCAAGTTCAACTCTTTTCTTGAATAATTTTTTAGACTTGTTTAAAAAAATGAGCCTAAAAATATTCGACTTGAACTAGCAAAACTCTTGCAATGTACGAAATTTCAACACATCTCCTTACCCTTCCTTTTTTTTTTTCATATTATTTTCATAACGTTTGAAAAGTTAAATAAAAAATTATGTAAAATTAGGAAAGAACAATTATAGAAGTTTGGATTTAAAAACAATTTAAAGGAAAATTTTCAACCACATCTCTTTTAGTTTACTATATTTTCAAGGACACTTTCTTTTAGTTTATAGGGTTAATTGTACAGGAGGTCCCCAAAGTATAAAATTTGTTTCATTTTGGTCTTTAAAGTATTAAATTTGTTTCTATATGGTTCCTCAAGCAGACAACGTCTAAATTGCTAATAATTTTTTATCATAAATTTTTCACGTGATACTTAAAAATAGACAAAAAAAAAAATTGAATAACTTTTTGACTAAATTTTTACTCAAATTTTAGTTAAATATCTATCCAAATTACACAGTTTTAATTATGAACTATCCTAATTTTGATCAAAACTTATTCATATTACACATTTTTTTTGTCAAGAAATACCCAAATTTTATTTAAGAGTTGTCAAAATTATTTTTTCACTTAACACTTATAAAATGTATTTGTTGGGGGAAACGAAGGGAGAAGGACGAGAGTGGGGGAGAAGCATCAACCTCACTTTTGTTTTGTTCTGTCTCACTTTATCTATGCTTGAAAGACAAAATTTTAATAATGGTTGTTCCTATTACATGGACCATGATGTCTCATGCCCTCGTGAAAGCCCAAATGCACCCAACCAATTTATCGTGTTATACGGTTTTGAATTAGAATCTAAAAAATTTTATTATTAAATTCATATCATATTTAGCGTATAAAATTTACAACATGTTATTCTAGCCATGTGTCTCTGTCAATTCAATTGTGTAGACTAAGGTAGGTTTGTGTCGGATTTTATAGAGAGTTCATGTCAAAAAATTTTTTATTTATATTTGATTTGTTTATTAATTTGTGTATAACGAATCATGTTATATTAAATTCGTATCGTGTATAATTGATATATAAATTAAAGAGTCATGTCGTGTATTTTTTTTAATTAATTTTACTCATATTTAATTCATTTATTAAATATAAGGTCCATACCGGACCAAAAATAAAGTGACATATGTAACTGATGATTCACAATCAATTGAATAAGTAACCAGTTTTGGAGAATTAATCATCTATTATGACAAAGAAGAAAAGGGTACAAGATATTAATCTTGAATCTAAACACCCGCAGACAGAAAAGGCAAGTAATGATGCCAGATCTGGGAATTGGAGTAATGAAAAGGCAAGTCTAAGAACTAAGTCGAAGACCTGAGAATCAGAGTAGTTCGAGTTTTCTTTTTTTTGGGAGGAGAGGGAGAAAGGGACTTGAACTTGATCTCAAGAACGTATAATCTTTGCAAGATAAAGAATATTATTGGACCAAAAGTTCATTGATTAGTTCGAGTCTTCAATTGAGCTACTGAGTGTAGCGAACCGTGAACAAGTGTCGATGTTGAGAGAAGAGGGAAGAATAGACGAGCAGTCGGCGTTGAGACGATGGAGGGAGGAACTGCTGAGTGTGGAGGGAGGAATGGCGTTGAGACGGCAGACGTTCGGCAGTCGGCGTTGAGACGATGGAGGGAGGAACGGCGTTGAGACGAACAGACGAGCAGTCCAATAAGAATGCAGCGATCAGAGATTGAGCTGCTGTCACTGTGTGTGAGAGAGAGAGGAAAATGAGAGTAAGTTAGGACCATAGGGCGTTAAGCCTTTAACTGGGAGTTTATATATATATAAAACGGGTATAACGGGACGGGGCGAAATTAAGAGTAAGTTCATTTCCGCAAAAGTTTATACAGATATTTTTGTATATGTTCACCGTCTGATATGTATAATCTATTTTCGGTCCAAATGGGACGAGTTTAGACAAATACTTATTTTTTTTCCGATCCACTACATAATTGACACTCCTTCAAATTTATATTTAAACATCACTGACACCCCCTGTCGTTAAATCACCATATCTAACCAAAAAAATTAACTAAAATATCAAAAGTGTCACTACATAAATTCCAAACAATCTTTCTATATAAAATTTGATTAAAATTCAAGCTGATTAAATTTTAATTTTTTACAAATTAGAATTCGTGTCTATTAATTTTTTTTATGTATTAAAATTTGAGTTGATTTGAGCTCTGCTTGAATTGTTAGTGCCGATTAAAATTTGCTTCGAGTCTATTAAAATTTATTTTTTACGCATTAAAATTTGAGTCTATTAAATTTTTTATTTTTTTATGTATCAAAATTCAGCCCGATTAAAAATCAATGTGAGTCGATTAAAATTTGATCAATGTGAGTTGAATTTTAATCAGCTCAAATTTTAATATGTAAAAAAATATAATTTTTAATTGACTCGACTTTTAATACTTAAGAAATAAATTTTAATTAACTCAAATTGAATTTTAATGCGTAAAAAAAAAATAGAAAATAAAGGAGATCTAATTGAAGTTATGCTTATCTAGAGGGGGTATGGATGAAATTTTTCTAAAATATATCATGAAAAATTTAGCAAAATTATATTCTAATTAATATTTTTAATTTGATAGGTGTTAGTGAAGATTCAAAAAATAGAGGAGAGGACCGTGAAAGTATGATAAACTAGGGAAAGAGTGTAACTGAAATTTTTTCAAATTTACATTAGTGGCTTATTTTTTAAAAAAATCCTTAAATTAGTGATAGTTAATTGGTGGGGTAGTGACCGAGTTACATAAGACATGTGTTGAAATATAATTAGTTAAAACCATGTGTGGTAATTAATTATTAAAAATTCTAAGGATATATGAAAGCAATAGGAAAGACTTCGCAACCTACATTCCACCCAATTTGATTGTTTTATATATATAGTATAGATATAGAGAGTAGCGCGATAATAAAAACTCTACAACATAACATTAAGTGAATACTTTTTATAAGGATCATTAGATTATGATCCGATGTCCCCTAATGAAAGAACCCAAAAAAAACTTAGCAAGTTAGGATATGAATGAAAATAGGAAAGCTCAATAATCTATTAATTATTGTTTCAACTATATATGGAAACTTCATTTAGGCTTATATTCAATTGAGGTCTCTTGACCTTATCCTTGCATAGTTATTGGACACATAATTATTTCGAGGGATAAAGTTGTGTTGCACAAATTATTGTATCCCAAGTGATGTATCAAAATTTCATGCATTAATATTTGGTGAAGTTAGTGAACCCTACTAATCCAACCATCTACATTGATTTGGGATACAAAAATTAGACAAATATTTATGCAACATAACATTGCTCTATTCCGAGTGGTTAAATTAAATATCAATCAAATTCTACTTTGATGTACTAGAGAAATTATTTTTTTTCTCAAAGGGAAATTTTCATTGCAATATCAAGTCATGTTTACGAGGTAATGTTCATGCCTATAGTTCTTTGAGTTTTCGATGTCCTTAAGACGGCCAAACTATAAAAAAGTAGGCTCTTGCAAATTTGTTGAAGGTGCCCTCGGGTAACCAAAGTTGAAGTTGTAGAAATGTAAAGCTTTTTGATTTATTTCTTTCCTACTCTTCTTCAATGTCCAAATCTTGATATGGACAACAATATCTTATTTTTCTTATTTTTAAAAATTTAATTTGATTATAATTACAAATATAATTTCCTCAGTCTAATTGAATGCAGACTACTTACACCGGGACTAAAGTATTTATGAGACATAAATCTCTTGTACCTTTTCCTCTAGGAGTTACCGAGATTTAAATTAAGACATTTTTATTACCACTTCAACTTCCTCTTGAGATTTATACCTACACATATTCACCTTTAGTTAATTTTCCCCAAAAGAATTAGTATTCTGGCATTATCTTATAAAATAATAATAGTAAATGAGCAAATTACACAAGAGCCCCCACACTTCAGCAGACATGATGCCAAATAGACAAGGGTAATGACATGGTAAATAGACAACCCAAAAAGTACTCAAAAATTTCTCTTCAATAACTTTTCAATATTACAATTAGGTGACTAATTTATTAAACTCCACCCAAAAAATCAAATGTGTGTTGCTTGATTGGTGGGGCTGCATCTTTTTTTTTTTTTAAGGTTTAATGGTCAAGGATATTCGGATCAGCTTATGCGCACCTCGATTAATCTCATCCTCGATTCAATCAAAGACAGATTATAAAGAATAAATCTCTCATGATCTGACCCTAATGTGTTGTCAAGACAGATTCTAACTTAAAACGTTTAAATTTACAACTCATTTACACTACTACTTGCGTTACCTTTTAGGATTGCTTTGTAGGGGTTATATCAGGAGTACCACCAGATAGATCAAAACATATGACAAAAATAAATAGATACAAAAGAATAAGACATGGATATGATGATGTATTTAATCCCATTTTTACTAAAATTAGAATTTCACACGTTTTATTAACGTGCACATTATTTGACTTTTTTTTTAAAATTTATTTTTTGATCGGTCTAACATTACCCCCTACATAATATATAACAATGTATGTATAGGTTTCATTATGCTTTAATAATTGCATCTTGAAGCTGTCCCACTTCACCAACCCACCCAACAAACCCACAATATATAGTTCTTTATTTACTATAGTCATCTAGCATTAATCAAAGGGTAATTTCGGTATTCTACGTAAATAGATACATTATACCTGTAAAATCTCCAATCTCCAACCATATTGAGAAGAAGTGGCCCTCAGTCCCGGCCACCAAACCCCACCAACTTCTTAGGTACACTTCTCCTACTTTTTCACTTTGTGGAATATTATCACCACACCATTTTAGTTTTTCTAAGTCCAAACGTTTGTGAAGGGCGTGAGAAACAATCTCAAAGACCTTGCCCATGGATTCTGCCCACACAAATTACCCAATTTTCACACCACCAGTAATCTTGTATGTTGAAGCAAAATTACATTGGATCGTTTGAAGTTGGTTTTTTTTAGGTGAGAAATAGAAGTTTAAAAAGTGAAATAAAAAACTTAGAGTTAAAAGAAACTCTTGAAACTTAACAGCACGTGGCCTGTTAGACCAACCAAAAATAAACACATGGCATACTCCACCAACTAGTGTAGAGGTGGCAATGTTCGGCCTTAGAGATTGGTGAGTATCTGAAAGCCGAGGGATTATTTTCATTAATACGCATTAGACTGACGTGCATGTAAAGGATCGATGTCAAGGTGACACTCTACTCGATGCCTAACCACCAGATGAGGTCAAAGAAATATCCCTACTATCTTCAGGGTAAGCCAATAAGTGGCCTCCTGTCAAAGGGAATTGTACGAATGTCCTTGATAAGCGCACTCATCTCTATCAGGAAAATATAAATAGTAGTCTTAGATAAGAAAGAAATGTACACTCTTATAATCCAGCACTTAGTATTCAGTCTCCTTCTCATCTTGAAAACTGACTTTAGCATCGAAGGGGAATCGCCGAAGACACCTCTGGCCTCCCTTCTAACCCTTTTCGTCATCCTCAAGCTTGAGAGCAATCGTCGAGTGTTGACGAAAGTGCTACTATCCCACTATTGTGCAAGAAACCACCCGCATAAGACTGTTTAGAGTAATTTCAAAAAAAAGCCGACATTTTCTTGGAAGTTCTTGGAAAAGTCTCATTTTTCAACTTTTTATTGGTATTGATAGAAGTTATTTTTGTCCAAAAAATTGATGAAAAAATCGCCCAATAAATCCAAGTTCAAATAGATCAGAATTCTTTTTCTCTTAATTCTATAAAAGCTGAAGTTTTCAGCCACCTCCCAATAAGCCCATTATTTTACTGTTAATATTTGGAGTTACCGAGTTCGAATCATAGTAAATGCTTTTTTTTTTTTTTTGAGGGAAACATAAGGGAAAAGAAGATTAGGATGTAGCCCAAAATTACATGTGAAGGAGAGTGAGTCTTTACCACTGAGCTACTCCCTCACCTCTCAATAGACTTTTAGCTAAGATCCCAGGAGCATTGAAGTAGATAGGATGACAGTGTGAGGGGTATGTGATAAGCCAAGCTAGAGGAGGACGACAAGGAAAATGGTAGACAATCATTGAAGGGGCTCCCCACGTTAAGCATAAAAAAGAAGGGCTTCAGATACATTCTTCTCAGATTAGAGTTAAACCGAAGCCCTCGATTTAGTCATGAAAATTCTGTACACAATCCCACAAATATGATTGAAAATCGTATGAAATTAAAGTTATGATCAAATGATAAGCTGATAGCGTAATTATACCCGTTTAGTAAATAACTCGACATAAATCCTATTAAAGAACACATAAACTCGATTGAAAATGAATGAATCCACATGAAATAAATCTAACTATAAGAATAGGATGAAATTAGAACCCGCAAAACTATAACAACAACTTACCACCAAGTAGAGTAGTCTAGTAGGGTACCGGCCTTATTATTTATCTTGAAGTTGAGAGTTTGAGTATTGGAGTTTCTATTGGAGTTTGGGGGTTGACCGCTATGCTAGTCTAAATAGGTCTAGTCTCGAGAGGTGTTCCAGACGCAGTCAGGAGCTTTATGATCTCACCGATAAGGGCCTATCGAGGTGGTCGATGGGTGCTCTTCCTTACCCCACCCCTTTTTTCACAAAAAAAAAAAAAGACCATAACAACTTTACCTCCGTCCGATGATTGAACGAGGGGTAGAGCATGTGCTAATACCTTTGGCCAATGGCAACAGGGGTGGAGCAAGACAGAGTCTGGAATGGAAACTGGGCACAGCACCTCAAAACATTAGCCACCTGCTAACCTTGCAGGGGTCCATTTTATAAGAGCTCACAGTCTTAATTCATTTTTTTTTTTTAGGGATGTGCAAGTATATTACTCTATATATTTTGTAAGAAATTTTATTCATCAGCACCACATAGTTACTGTAGAAGATTCTATTGCACCTACATTGACGCCTAAACTAAGATCTCGTTACATGCTCGGGACACTGAATAGTAAGTTTAACCGAGTTAAGTTGTCGTAGTTGTAGAGACTCGAATTTAATCATTGATCGAAGAAATCTAATTTCTTACCCACTAAACCAATCGCTCAGTAATCTTAATTCATTTGTTATAGCAAAAAATAATAATAAAGCTTTTTAATAAGTTTTTAGCAAAATTAATCGGGTAGAGTGTAGTTAGCCACACTTGATTAACTTTTTTTAGTATTTTTGTAATTAAGAGGGACAAGGGTATTTATCATGTCTCCTTAGGGAATATTATTGGGCCCATCATCTTTTGTTTCGAATTTTTGTTCAACTTTTTGTGAATGATTGCGCTTCTATTATTGATGTACTGGTAATTGTCCGTGCCTGAAAGTACGGCGCAATAAAAAATTGAAATAAATTACGTACAAATAAAACACATACAAACTACATATAATACCACTACCAACTATAACATTCAACAATTAACAAATCTTTAATTCAACACTTAAAAAATGAAATTGAAACTCAATTGCAATGAAAATAATGTTCCTACATTTTATTAGATAGAAAACTAAGATTTGAAGCAGTTTGTCATAAATATCATACCAATAGTAAAATTTACTATACTTATAGTAATAATTCGACCTACCAACTAAATCAGAATTATCAACCACATTGCAATAAACTCCATGTGGAGATTGAGATATAACCCAATCTCTACAACTATAAGCTCCACCAGATTAATACCTCATGCAATTAATGGTGTCGCCTCATATTTGTATAAAAAAAATAAAAATATATGCTTCATGCAATAAAATTGAATTAAACTTGAAGTGTACTTTATTGCAAATGATTATCTAATTGCATTAACATATAGTAGCTTAAACGTAATCGTCCAAATAACATTATAATCACCGACGCAATACCTTAGCACGTAACTGCCTAAAATACGAAAAACAACAAAACCTCTAAAGTTAATGTCTGTGCCTAACAACATTTTATATCACAAAAAACTGGAATAAAAAAATAAAAATTCATTGATATAAATTGAACAACCATCAATGAATTTTAACCAACAAAAGCAAAAATTCAAAATTAATGACAGTATCTCAATACCAACAAAATTACAACCGTAGTACATTAAACCCCCCAGTGTCACCACCTATACAAAAACCAACATAGTGGCTTGATCACCTGCACCCAACAAAAAAAAAGGTGATAATTCATGATCTCACTAACAAATATTACCAATTAACTTACATGTATACCATACTTAATGTCCCCTCCAAGAGCACACCATCTTTTCCCATCAAACCCCACCAACGACCACAACCCATTTCCTCCTCTCCCCCTTAAAATCATGATCCATAAACTTGGCAAGATATCCAACTTTAGCTTTGTGCATCCTGTAATTCAATTGTCTCTGTAAACAGATAAATATCTAGCCCTTCCCTATGAATTTCTCAAGTACATTGACCCATTCAACTGAAAAAAAAAAAAGCAAACAAATCAAATTTCGAATATAAAAATGATCTTATGAATCTTTCATTGCCTCAAATAACTAACTCAAAACATAATTGAAAAACATTAAATTAAAAACCTGCAAACATATACAAGCTCAATTCTCCAAACATTCTTTGCATATTAACAACACCTATAAACATCAAAATATAGGTTAAATATCCACCAAGTTACACAACATTTAGTGATTCAATTCTAAAATCAACTATCAAACTTTGCCAAACTATCCAAATGCCATCACACCCATAAACAAATTAATACTATTAAATTGATCAACAATCTAAAAGTGTACCCAAATCATAGATTGAAGAAGCATAAAGCCTTAGATAGCTATGATTGGCAGCACATCGACGAAGTATAGAACCTTAACTACCCACAACAACATTCATTTCTTATACTCAATCAACTGCAAAATATTCTATTCGATTGAAACTAAAATAAGAATAAACGAACAAAAACAGTAATATTAACAGCCATCTTTAACCAAAACTTAGCATCAAATGAATACAAAAATTAAAGGAGAAAAAAAATTAAATAACAAATCTAAGTAGAGGAAATAGGGGTTGTGTGTGTGTGTGTGGCATGTGGCGTGCGTGTTGTGCGTTGAGTGTTAAGGTCATTTGATCGAACACCTTGTGTGCATTTGGTGGAACACCTTGCATACGATATGTGTGTTGTGCGGAGAGAGAGACAGATAGAGACAGAGATACATAGAGTGGTGTGGTTACCAACGTAGGAGAGAGATGGAGAGAAGAGAAACGGGGAAGGGAATAAGAGAGAATGAGAGAATTAAGAAAAGGGGTGACACGAATTAGGCCATCAATGGGGGTGGTTTGTGCGCAGAAAGGATGACAGAAATAAGGGCTAGGGAGGGGAGAAAGAAAACTACCTCAGAGGGATGCCGGTGTCGTGGTGGTGGCACTGGCCTTCTCTAAGAAATCTGGTAATAACCAAAATCATGGGCTTGATTTGTTGGCGATGGTTTGCTTCGACTAAGGGTTAGGAAGCATCGCCGTCATTATTGTTGGCGATGGTTTGCTTCAACTGAGATGGGGGTGGAAGAATAAAGATAAGGGTGAGAGAGACGGAGGCAGAGGAGCACAAAGAAGGGCAGAGATATGAGGGAGATGGGGGTAGAGAAAGGGTGGGTAGACAGGGGAGAGAGATGAAGTTTGCGGAATGTATGAGAGATTGAGGCTGAGAGGGGTGAGGTAAGAGAGAGAAGAAGCGTGAGAGAAGGATTGAGAATGATTTCAACCTTTGGATCAATTTTAGACTTTGGGATTAGGTTTTGATGTAACATATTTGAGGAGAAAATTTTTTTGAGAGTGATTTTAGACCGTTAGATCAATTTTCTTAAATAAATCTAAACCGTTATTGTGCTTTTCCAACTTGAAGATTCAAAATTAGTTATGTCTTATTATTATAGATGCTCCAAGTTATAATAGTAATATACCAATTTATATATGAAAAACTAGTTTATGGTAAAAATAAAACTGCATCTAGAGAACCCTAAAAAATTGCTCAAGTAGTAAAAAAAATAAACTATAAATTCAGACGTTTTAAATTTGAATCTTGACAATCCACTAGGTCAGAGAGAAATTTGTCCCTCATGAATACTTTCGTTTCAACGTAAATGATTTATTTTTGACCAGATTGAAGAGAAAATCGATTAGAGTGCAAGAAATAAGATCCAAACAATCTGACATTGGAAAAAAAAAAGAAGAGAAATTGCATCTAGACTTCATCAAATTTAAAAGCGTTTAAGGGGAGAGAGAATAATTCCAAGCATCTCACACAGCAATCACAAAAATAACTAATTAGGAGCTGCCATCTTACAAAAAATGTCTCACAAACAGAAAAAAAAAAAAATAATAATAAAGAGAAATGGTCCATCGTATGCATGTTAATAAACTCAAATTGTGCAGCCCCACATGGAATTTTTTGTCAGATTTACAGTGTTCTGAGGAAAATTATACAAACACTGCTTGTATTTCTCAACTTGTAAGATACACCCTCATTGTTTTTTTTGTAATTATGCCTTTGTAGTTTGGGTTTATGTCTCCAAAGTCCTTTTCAGTCATTCAATGTTTAAGCTGACTAAAGAAATATCGTAATGTCATTTCAACTTGTTAGAATTTGTGTCTTACTTCTAAAAATACCTCTTTCCTCCACCACACTAACAAGCCAAGGTGACCTCCAGCACCAAAACCCGCTCCATCTCCTCCTCTATCTCCACCTCTACAGTCATCATCGTTGTACTACCCAAAACCCGACCATCTTCACCTACACTTAAACCACACTTGCAAACCCACCACCACTAGCACTACCATGACTATTGTAATCCCTATTTCTTGCAACACCCTTTGTTCATTTTCTTTAAATGTTTGCATCTATCTTTGTTTGGGGTGGAAGTGGGGGTAGAAACTACGTGTATATGTGTGTATGTCCAAGGGCACTCTTGAGTGTGAGTTTGAGGAAATGACGATAACAATGAAAGAAAAAGAAAATATATAGTGGGAAAATTACTTTTCTACAAGGGTTTATTTTGATGCAAGAACAAGGATACAAGATATTTTGGGAAATAAATGTTATGTACTTCCATCGGAGGTTCTACATCTGTTTGAGAGTGTTAAAAAAAATTTCCCAAAAGTAAGGGTGTCCCTTATAATTATCTAAAACTACATAGGGCATCAATATAATTTCCACTATTTATTTCCGTCGGTAGGTATTTGTCATCACCTTCACCCACTTTGAACATCAACTCACGCTCTCCACCAGAGCGCGTCACCCTAATCATAAACAGTAAAATGACTATTTTACCCAGATCTACCACCTCTCACCCACTCCTGCACTCCCTTCTATATATAACCCAATCTCCACCACTCCAAACTCGCGTCCCTCCCTCTTTCTCTCTCTCCCCCCCCCCCAAGAACCAGTCCCGGACTCTTCCGGTTCCATCTCTTCCTAAAGGTACGCCCTGTCTTTCACGTCTCCGTGACTCCCAGACACCGCACGTTCCTTGAGTATTAATGCTGAATTCTCTCGTAGTTATCGCCTTTTAAAGTTTTCTCTCTTCGATCTCTTGTATCTCTTCAATACCCAGATTTGTTTACTGACTTTCCAATTAGATCTATTGGTAAGGGTCTTTTTATGTGATTTGATGTTTCACGCTTCACATTTCTTGCTTTTTATTATACAAAGACAATAGAATTACTATGTACCCAGTTCATGTGTACTAGAAAATCTGCTGACATGGTATCTAAAAGTAGCTTTCGGGCTAGGAGTTCAATTGTTACTACGGTTAATCTCATCTGTACTTGTATCCAAATTTGTATGTGCACATATGGTAGATCTAGTGGTTTAGGATATTGGGAATTGGAGATCTGCACTTGAATCTCTGCTTTTGGATAGATCTAACATGAAGCGGGTTTTAAGTGTTATCGATTCAATTAAATCTGTTGGCAGTAGTTGTCACATCCATGTCCTGAATAGGTACTCTGTTCCACTCATTAGTTTATAGTTTAATCTACTTAGTGGGTCTTTTTTTTTACTCATTTCATTTAAGTCATTGAAGTTTTTCATCAGATTCGCCATTTCTGTATTTATTTAATCCTTCTCAGTGTATGGTCATTACATTAGGCTTTAGTATGCCCTTACCTTCTTTACTTATAATCAGTCCTACTTGGATTTGCAATTTATGTTGTTGGTTCATGTTTGTTTGGCATTTTGCAACTTCAACTATTTTGAAAGAAAAAAGTTGGCACTTTTTACAAAAAAAAATTATTTGGACATACTTTGGTGACCTTAACTTAATTTGTCATACCCATTGGATTGGTAGCAGTCCCAACATACGGGGACCTCTATCAATCCATGACATTGTTAGTTAGATTAGCAAATTAGGTCCAATTGGCATTGCACTGTTGCAAATAGCTATAACATAAGGCATTATTGTGATGGACTACTTTTTGAAATGGTCAGACAATGTTGTTCACCGTCACATTTTTTAAGATAAGGCCAAATCATGCCAAACCCTTTATCTAGACTCGTGATTTTCGCTAGATTTATTGTAGTCTTTACCTTTTTCCCCAGTTTTGGTTAATACCACGTTTCATGTGTATTTGTTCATGTGTGTGTATTTATAGTAATTTAAGTTCACAACATGTTTATTGGGTGCAACTTAAGCTGGTGTGAAATCAGGGTAATTAATTTTTTTTTGGTATATTGACTTTGCCAGAAAAATGGCGTCTCACATTGTTGGATACCCTCGCATGGGCCCGAAGAGAGAGCTGAAATTTGCTTTGGAATCTTTCTGGGATAAGAAGAGCAGCGCCGACGAGTTGCAGAAGGTGGCAGCCGATCTCAGATCATCAATCTGGAAGCAGATGGCTGGTGCTGGCATCAAGTACATCCCCAGCAATACATTCTCTTACTATGACCAGGTGCTTGATACAACTGCAATGCTCGGCGCTGTCCCACCCAGATACAACTGGACCGGTGGTGAGATCGGATTTGACATTTACTTCTCCATGGCTAGAGGAAATGCCTCTGTACCAGCCATGGAAATGACCAAGTGGTTTGACACCAACTAGTAAGTGATAGATCAATCCTCTCAATGTTCTCTGCAGTGAGATGTTTGTGCCTAAATGCTGACAATTATTTATGGGTTGCGTCGATGCAGCCATTTCATTGTTCCCGAATTGGGACCTGATGTGAAGTTTTCTTATGCTTCCCACAAAGCAGTGACTGAGTACAAGGAGGCAAAGGCGGTATGTGATATGAACACTTGCTAGTTTATTGGATTTCTCTCTTTGTCCGGGCTAATAGACAATAAGTTTGATACCCTGAGCTGAACATTCTTAGCCTTTAATGAAGTTAAGTTGCATAAATGTGGGATCACTAGGGCAGTTGTTGCCATGGTTGCTAGGTCTTAGGTTCTGGATTTGGTGTGAAATGGAATTTTTTGCCCCAAGTTGAATGGGTGCAATTTGCCATAGTTCAGTTGTTCCTGAAGGTAATTACAAATGCAATGTAATAAACAGTTGGTATGGTCAAGGATCAACAATTTGTTTCGAAACAGCCATTTTGGCCAAAACGTTACATTTCCAAGGAGGCTGAGACAAATTAGTAGTGATTGAATGAAAATTCCAATGTTTGGGATGTTGAGGTATTTTGAAAAGGTTCGAGGCATTTCGAGATGCGTAGGTATGTTTTGAGCAATGTTTTGGAACGCTTCGAAGTGTTTCAAGAAATTTATGCACTGAAACAAATTTTTTATCATTGGGTATGGTCTCGCTGAGTTCTAACAAGTTAGTGATTATTCATTATTCTTGTCTTTCTTTTTTCATTGGCATCAAGAATCACTGTAAGTTGGTTAGTGCTGTAATTTGATCAAAATGTAAATGTAAGATCTTGACCCTTTTCTCTCATGCAGCTTGGAGTCGACACCGTTCCAGTTCTAATTGGTCCTGTCAGCTACTTATTGCTTTCTAAACCTGCAAAGGGTGTGGATAAATCATTTTCTCTTGTCTCTCTTCTTGACAAAATTCTTCCCATCTACAAGTAAGAAAATAAACTTCTCTCATTAATTTGTTATCTGACTTCTTTACTTTGCCATTAAAACAAAAATCATATCTGCAGGGAAGTTGTGGCTGAGTTAAAGGCAGCTGGTGCTTCATGGATTCAGTTTGATGAGCCCACTCTTGTGAAGGATCTTGAGCCTCACCAATTGGAAGTATTCACTAAGGCCTACTCTGAGCTGGAATCAACGCTCTCTGGTGTGAATGTTCTCATTGAGACCTACTTCGCCGATGTTCCTGCTGAGGCATTCAAAACTCTAATTGCTCTAAAGGGTGTTACTGCCTTCGGGTTTGATTTGATTCGTGGAACAAAAACTCTTGACTTGATCAAGGGTGGATTTCCTTCAGGCAAATACCTCTTTGCTGGTGTGGTTGATGGAAGGAACATCTGGGCCAACGATCTTGCTGCGTCTCTCAACATCCTTCAGTCACTTGAACGAATTGTGGGAAAAGGTATCTTTTTTCAGGGGGTTTGATAAATGGATAAGCATATTCTCTTGCTACCAGATAATTAATCTCTTTGTAATTCTGTTATATAGATAAGCTCGTGGTCTCCACCTCCTGCTCGCTTCTCCACACTGCTGTTGATCTAGTTAATGAGCCTAAGCTGGATAAAGAAATCAAATCATGGCTTGCATTTGCTGCTCAAAAAGTTGTTGAAGTCAATGCCTTGGCCAAGGCATTGTCTGGTGCAAAAGATGAGGTACTATTTGTTCTGGCTCTAAACATTGAGGTCAATTGTTGCGGTTTTTGGTTCAATGGCCGTAGCAGATGTTTGTAGTACTGATTCATGAGCTTTTGTTGTATTTTATGCTTCTTACAGTGATGTAAACAATTCATCTCTGACTTTTATGGTTTTGTTTTCAGGGTTTCTTCTCTACTAATGCCGCGGCTCAGGCATCAAGGAAGTCCTCTCCTAGGGTGAACAATGAAGCTGTGCAAAAGGCTGTATGTGTTCTACACTTTTTCTTTTCTTTTAACCCTTCAGGTGGCTGGACTGAATGTATCATTTTGGTCTTACCAAAAACTTAATTTTTTGGTTTTCCAGGCTGCTGCTTTGAAGGGATCCGACCACCGCCGTGGTACTAATGTTAGTGCTAGACTTGATGCTCAGCAGAAGGAGCTCAACCTGCCAATCCTCCCTACCACCACCATTGGGTCTTTCCCTCAAACAATGGAACTTAGAAAAGTTCGCCGTGAATATAAGGCCAAGAAGTGAGTGGTGTTTCAATTCTTGCTTTCCATCATATTTGACTCTTCACTAATCTTGGTTGTGATAATGATGTTTTCTGCAGGATTTCTGAGGAAGAATATGTTAAGGCAATCAAGGAGGAAATTAACAAAGTTGTCAAGCTCCAGGAAGACCTCGATATTGATGTCCTGGTTCATGGGGAGCCGGAGGTAAGCTAATTCATGTCCAAACCTATGGCTTGGAGTAATTAGAACTAGCTCCTTTATTCTTTAGAGCTAGAGGACATGGTACTTACAGTTTTTATCCCTTTTCACATGAACAAGAAGGCTTCTAATTCCCTTATAAATTCTGGATGTCTTGTATTTCAGAGGAATGATATGGTTGAGTACTTCGGAGAACAGTTGTCTGGTTTTGCCTTCACTGCTAATGGTTGGGTGCAATCTTATGGATCTCGCTGTGTGAAGCCACCCATCATCTATGGTGATGTGAGCCGCCCCAAGCCCATGACTGTCTTCTGGTCCTCTATGGCTCAGAGCATGACCAAGCGCCCAATGAAGGGAATGCTTACAGGCCCTGTCACCATTCTCAACTGGTCCTTTGTTCGAAATGACCAGCCAAGGTAATTAAAAAATTGTTATTGCCATTTCAAAAGTATTAGGGAAAAAGGAAGATGGAGTTGAGAATGTTTTGTCTTGTTATTTTTTTCAATAACATTTAGCATGATACGATCCCCTATTACCAGATTTGAAACTTGCTACCAAATTGCTTTGGCCATCAAGGATGAAGTAGAGGATCTTGAGAAAGCTGGCATCACTGTTATTCAAATTGATGAGGCAGCTTTGAGAGAGGGGTTGCCTCTTAGGAAAGCTGAGCATACTTTCTACTTGAACTGGGCGGTTCATTCCTTCAGAATCACTAATGTTGGTGTCAAAGACACTACCCAGGTGCAGCTCACTTCCATTGATTTCTGCTTTGATTGATTGATTTCTCCTATTTATTTACTTTTTACAGCCTCATCTTAATGTTATATTCTTCGTCAATGCACTCATTTATTAATACCTTACAGATCCACACCCACATGTGCTACTCCAACTTCAATGACATTATCCATTCCATCATTGACATGGATGCCGACGTGATCACCATTGAGAACTCCCGATCTGATGAGAAGCTCCTGTCAGTCTTCCGTGAAGGCGTGAAGTACGGTGCTGGTATTGGCCCTGGTGTGTATGACATCCACTCTCCAAGAATACCATCAATGGAAGAGATTGCAGACAGAATCAACAAGATGCTTGCTGTGCTCGAAACCAACATCTTGTGGGTCAACCCGGACTGTGGGCTCAAGACTCGCAAGTATGCTGAAGTTAAGCCAGCACTCCAAAACATGGTTGCTGCCGCCAAGCTCCTCCGCACCCAGCTTGCAAGTGCTAAGTGAATCATTAAAGGGGAACTGGGAGTTTCATATTCCTCCAATTCATTGTTTCTTACTTAAAACATGGGGGTTGGGGGGGGTAGAGAAAAAAATGCTGTGTTGATTTTAATAATTGTGGGTCTTAAGGAAATGTTGAGTAGGATAGTCTGCCCTGTGGGCATTTGTTCCTTTTGTTTTCTTGATTTTTTGGTTTTCTTATTTGATATATATATATATATATATATATATATCTTGCCTTGTTGAGGGGTCTGGTCTTCAATTTATTTGAAAGGCACCCCACTGATCAGTGTACCTTTCTAGTGATGGAAATTGAAGAAATGTGATAACCAGTTTGTTCATTTATCTTTGCAGTGTATGTTCTCTCTCTTTTTTGTTATGTCATCATCTGAAACAAAAAGGACTATGAACCTTTGTTTGTATATTGAAAATTTTGGGATGTGATTCTGTTCTCCACCACTCGTCCAAATGAGTGTTAAGTCCCCCAACTTTTGTGGGTCCTTTGGTCTTTTTGCTCTACCACTTCTAAATTCAAAATTTTTGACATGACGAGGACGTAACAGGTGGGTTAGAGTTAATTGTTTTTTGACGCGAATTTAAAATAATAAATGAATTAGTTTATTGTCAAAAATAAATAACCCGATTTTGATATGATGAAAAAATTTAATTAGTATTATATTAAAAAAATATCTTTGTGAAATTAATATTTTTTTTACTTATTTTTCCTATTTATATAAGGATTTAGTGGACTTTTAATATATGAAAAATCTATAAGTGATAAGTTTAGTCAATAGATAATGCCATCTTAGTCTTGAAATTTTTATTAATAAACAAGTTGGATTAATTTTAGAATATCTTACATAATTAATTGAATGGTTTGAGTTATAATTGATTAGGACTTGACACAAACTTATAATAACATGCCCTAAACACAATTACTAGTACTTGCCACGGCTCAATTTCCGCCCCCATCCAATTTTCATCTTATTAGTGAAGTAAAAAATTGTAAATTTTGACAAGTCTAGATTGCTAGAATTAAGGGATTACGTCTAGTTCTTTAGAGAGCTACATTTCTAAACTCCAAATGCAGGAGAGAACAATCCAAATGTGACAACTCCCTTAACCTAATCTCAAAATTCATCGTTGCGATTACGTGTTCTTACCATGTCCATCATTGATATCTTATCAACTCAATAGCATGACAGGTACGAAATAACAGCTAACGATAGATTTGACCAAATCTAGGTTATAACAACCTATTAACAAGCAAAATAGGTGCAACAATTTGCTTTTTGAGTACCAAGTATCATTCCAACCGTAACCCCTTTAAACTCATACCTACAACTTAAATTTATCGTGTACATTTATCCAGAAACACGTGCATTGTGGCAATTGGGACGCCAAGACCCGAGACCTAAGCCGAGTTACCCAACATTTCAAAAGAAATGTAAACCCCACAAGACAAGTGAATCAGCTGACCAAAACTATTCTTTAGCTCAGGGTGAACCAAACGTCTTGGTATCTACACTGGAAAAAGATTTGATCATTCCTCACCAGGAAATTTAGTTAAAACGTATTAATTATTCAAAGTTAAAACAACTACCAAAAGGTAACAGCCATAACAAAAGAAACAGGACAGGAATATGTAGATAGTTAACCACTCTGATTTATGTCCACCCTCAACGCCACCCATTTGTCATCGCTAAAAGGCAATTCAGTAGCACCATCAGTAAATGCCATGCTTGACTTGCGTGGACAAACGATGACCTTGCTGCGAATTAAGGTACCAGCTCCAGCTGCTGTATCAGTATCCTCCACAACTGAACTAGTTGAGTGCTCCACTGGAGAAGGTGAAGACAGCTCACCTTCAGATGGAGAAGTGGTAGAAGGAAAAGGATCAAGCAGATGGGCATATGCAGTGTCTGACGAAGGGGAGCATCTGAATCTTTTTGCATTTATATCTATTTCTGGAGATAAATCGAGGGAAAAGATTAGAGCCTGTTTCACCATCTATTGGAATTAATTTGGATGATTTATACCAGGCATTGATGCAACAAATGCATTGTACATGGAACAGCTCAACATCAAGGATGCAAGTGTAACATTATAACACAAGAAAGCTCTACATAATAAACAAACATATATAAGCTTCCTATCTGCGGTAAAAGGGAACTTCATAGCGGAATTTTGAAGAACAAAAAGGGAGGAAAAGCGTAAAATCCTGTATGTGAATCCTATGAGAAGCCAAAACTAAGAAAAAAGAGGATTTGTTCCTAGCTTCCTCCACGGATATCCACACAAATGACTAGATGGACAGCTGATGCATATTAGAAGATCATTTATCAATAGAAACAGGGATCACCAACAAATAGTAAAGCAACAAAGATTAGGTTAGAGGTTGGCACTACTAGCCACCTCTCGGATATTTTCCTTCTCATGTAATCGTCCATCAAATCCTAGATCAGCCAGTTACAGAATAATCCTGCAAAATTAACAGAATTAAAAGTTTTGAGAACTTCACCTTTCTCTTCTGTCTCTTGTTCTTCATCCATTACAAGTTTGGCTTTCTGTCTGCTATTCTGTTGCAAATCATTGGTAGCAATGGACCGCACACAGGAGGGCAAGACATTCAACTCTTCCTCCACATGACAACCAGGGGAAAGAAGTTTAGGGTTCTTAGATGCCCCGCCTGCATGCACAAAAATGACCACTATGTCTAAACCTCATATATTGCCACAACAATCCAGAAGTTGAAATCAGAGTAGAATCCTCAAACCTAATCCCATCTAGTTGTTTCTTTTTATTTATTTCCCTTTGTCCCTCTTCTTATCTAATTGTTCATACCTTTGAGCCAAAGGATACCTATGAAATTAAGCAAGAGAGTACATTTTTACATTTTTTAAAATCAACACCTAGCACAGATATTAGACCAGCTAGGGTATAGACCACTGAAAACCAGCAGTAGTCTGAATAGTAAATCAAATATTACAGGTTACAGAAAACCTTGGCACTCACTGTTAGAACTAAACTTTTAGAACATTCTAGGGTCAAGAAAGGCCGCAATGTGTAGTTCTCAATGTTTAACTTGAGTCCTCCAGAGAGTCAAACTTTTCAAATACATCCCACTCAGCTGAGATTGGGTTTTCAATGATCCATTAGATGATGCTTGCTAGGTGTTCACAAGCTTCGAACCTTGGCATAAATTCACAAACCAGCTCAATTTTGCTAGGTGGGTGTTTGTACATAGCCAGATAGCCTGGTAATTTAAGCATGAAAAACAATAGTGACTCCAACGCATGATGAGAAAGCACATGAAACATCTATGCACCACTAATGCCACGTAGGTCTGGAAAATGTTGAAGAACAAAATGATAGTAAGGACCCATAAGATAGCAAACTGTTATCAGAAAGAATTAGCCTTTAGTTTTTCAATGATGGTTAAATATAAACCCCTGACTGACTCCATTCCCTATCTTTCACATACATGGCTGTACTATGAATATTTGCACTTTTTCGATACCTAACAACAGTAAACCTCAGCTGGAGACCATGAAGGTATTTAACAACAGCTTAACAACACGGATTAAATTATATCAAGTAGCAAGTAAAGCTCTATAACTAAACATGAAGTCACTTTGAGAAATGAGAGAAAAGTCAATAAAGGATGTTTGAATATAAACAAGGAAAGGAAAGGTGCTAAATCCGAAATGTACTGCTTACTCAATCCCTATTATATTCACAGAAAGCCAGTTCCAGAGAGTCACAATACCCGCTAATGTATAAAGCAACTTCGGAGTAATGTCCCAGCTTCCATCGTCAGTACCCAGGTGAGTAACCGGAGATTGCTTACTCAATCCTGATTTTATTGAGAGAAGGCTAGTTCCAGGGAGTTATAATGTCGGGTAAAAAGTCAGCAATCCTGGTCATTTCCCTAAAATTTTTCACTACATATCCAGTGATGGAATCAGGACATTGGTCAGACGGTTATGATAGTCCAGCTAATGTGAAATTTACATCACCTCCTGTAACAGTAGGTCTCACAGTAGAAAGCATTTTTCATGACTTCCTACTTCATTTCAGAATGAATGTCACGAGGACACCAGTAGTTTAGTGTGGGAAATGGTGCAGAATAAACAATATCAAGAGTTTGAAAAACACACCTTTCTCTTCCTCTGCCTGTTCCTCACAAATTATGAGGCTGGCTTTTGGATTGATATTTGGTTGCAATTCATAAGGAACAATGGACTGGACACTGGAAGATATGACTCCTGAAGCTTTCAGTATGTAACAACCAGGGGAAAGAACAGTAGAGTTCTGAATTGCTCTCCCTGAAAAGGGATGACAATATTTTTTGTAAAAGCAGTCCTATGACTTGATCAAATACAGTAATGATCGGTTTTTGCATTGTACAATATAGTCTTCCTTGGATTAACTGTGCATGGATTTAAGATGCGTTGTACAGGTCCAAAGCACTCATTTATGTATCACTCCACCCTCTGGGCTTCAGACATCATCATTTGGGCCCTCTCTCGTCCAAGGTGATGTATACTTTTGGGTGATAACTCCCACCATGCTAGCTATCACCATCCCTCTAGAATATGGTGCACCGAGAGACGCACAGGCCTTAGGTAGCCTCCACACTAAGAGTGTCACTGGCTTTGACACCAATTGTAAACTCGGGCCCGCATGACACAATATTGTCTGCTTGGATTTAGGCCCTCACAACTTTAAGACATGTTGTAAAATGAAGATCCAAAACACACTCCACACCCACCTCACCGAGTGAGGTGGGGTTGGATCATCACAAATATATTCTACATAAATTGTAAATCACTCGACACCGGAATGCATTGTCTAAATATCTCATGGTATTTTTATAAATTTATCCTCTTTGTCCCTCTTTAGTCTAAACAATGTTACCTGGAACACATGTCATTTTGATACCTGGAATGGAATAGGAATGTAGTAAGCCACTTTTTTTAAAAGTGATGTGTGTATAGATGACATAGACTGCGTTAAGACAATTATAAATGAGATGGTTTTGTTCATTTGAAAACAGATGAGCATTGCAATCTAAACATGTAGAACCGTAGATGTATGTTCCCAGACTCTTTCCTCCATTTTCATATGCAATATGTCTTAGATTAATTTGCTATCTTAATATATTTCTTTCCATAAAAATCTGAAGTTATTCAAGGAAATAGAAAAAGTTTTAGATCATCCATTGTCCAAATATAATTCTGGATTGAAAGTGCAGAACCTGGGAATGGGTATGAGACATGTCTCTGATGTGTCTAGTTTGAGGACATGAAACTAAGAAGCGCATGCCAGTGATAAAAATGCATTACATAAATTAACACAAAATTTCTTTCTTAGTTCTCATTCGAACAAGATTGCTTATAGTCAAGTGCCCATGCTAAACACCCCATCTCAGATAAAACACCATATTTACCTCGTTAAAGATGAACCATGAACGATTTCCATTTCAGCCATGTCCTTGGATATGATAATTAGATATCTAACAGAAAAACTCACACCTACATCTTAGAGCCCATCTCACGTAGTTCTAAATGTTCATGTCTCTAAACCAAGGACAACTATGGAAATTAGTAAAAAAACTCCACCACCTATTAGAAACTTTGACCATCAATCCAGCTTCAAAGGACATAGATTGAACTAGTCAGTAGTAACTGAACATTAAACCAAATATTCAATGTTTTAGAAAGCTTATGCTCAATATGAAAAAGTCCAGTTTCTTTATTACTTGTATTATCAAGCAGAGCAGAGCAGTGCACTTGTAAAACAATCTTCAGGCTCCAGAGTTCCCTAAACACTCAAGACTTTTAACAAAGTGCCACCCTAAGATTTTGGATGCCCAATCCCACCACAGAACTTCCATGATCAATCAGATGATTCTTGCCATGAGTTCACAAGTTGGAACATTTGCATCAAAGCAGGTATCAGCTCAATCAGCCAAGTGTCAGTAGTCCGATCTTTAATGCACAACAGATGTTAGTGACCAGTAAGCAGCAACACCATGCAAAATACAAAATTAATTCCATATAATGTTGAAAGCCAAGAAGCGCAGGACTCAGAATCCAAAGCTATGAAAACAGAGCAAGAAAATTATTGTACCAAGTTTGTCATAGAAATCACAGTATCGGTGCATCTTTTTTTCTGGTTCATGTTAGAATTTCAGCCACAAACTCTTTCCCTCTAACCTTGTTTGAGACAAATGCCTCGCTGATGACACCTATGCCTCAAATTGATGGGCCCAATATCCTATATCTCAAGTTGATGGAAAATACATAGTATGGGCCCCTTGAAATGGATGCACCCATCCATTTTACACGCCTCATGTTATGCTGTTTTCTGGCCGAAGATGTGATTGGTTTCAGGTGTGTAACGATTAGAACTGCCCCACCTAAACTTGACCTGTTCTGCAAGAACCCTAGCCCAACTCACTACTTAGTTTATCATGAGAAACACTGAAACACATTAGCAGGCATCCTCATCCCACAGTGCAGAAAGTGTCCTTTCAACATTTATTTGAACGGATAAAAAGAAAACCAAACCAGAGTTTGTATGTTTAAAACAGAACTGAAGGTGCAAGAATCATCTGAGCTCTTAGCATAGTCAACCATAAACAGTAAGACTACACTACACTAAGAGAGGCAAGTAATATCACTTTCCATTGATTTACTAGGCGCATTGAGGGTAACGAAGTAAAAGAAATGGTAAATGGAAAAGCAAAAAGCCAAAAGCTTCTAGGATGATGTGCCTGGTCTGCGATGGGACCGCGAAGAGTCAAATGTACGCAATCTCTTAACTCCACAAGCGACTATTTCCACGATTCAAACCCTTAACACCCAAGTTCCAATGGAGCAACCTTACTGCTGTGTTAAGGCCCACCCTCATACAAAGGAAAGAACCAAAAAAAGAAAAGAGAAGAACAGAAAAAATGAGGGTAACAAGTGCAGCCAAGTACTAGAATGTTTGAGTAAGAATCATACAAGTGTCAAGCAAGATAATTTCATTTAAGAACTTAGAATGCAAACTTCACAGAAGTGCCAAAGTCAAGATTCAATAATATATGAATACAATAATTTAGTTTCTTCATATCAATTTGTAATCACCTATTATCCATTCATATGTCCTATCATCCTTGTATAGGGTTTGCTTTAGTATAACCGAGAATTACTCTCGCCATCATTCTCAAAAAGTGCCAGAAACAGATCTACCATTCATCATATTCAAAACAAAATCACTTGTTTAGATCATTGTGTCATACTGTCATGATTTCACAATCAAACACCCAATGCAAAACAGGAACCCCAAAAAAAAAAAATTCAAAGGCTTGCTGAAGAATAATTTCACAGCTAATAGAAAATTTAATGGTCAAATAAAAATCTTCTATCAGTAGAATATTTTCACAAGGATCTGCTTGTCATCCACTTAGCATATCTCAAAGAAAAATGGGCTGACAACACCTAAAAATTCAATAAACTAGCAAACCTATACAGCAGAATCATTGGAGTTCCTTCATTTTCACTGCTGTTCATAAAATTCACTAAAATTAAAATCTCAAGAGAATCCTTCTTACTTAATCACTGATGAGCATCAAACCAGTTCATGAATGTAAGAGAAACTTTTTTTATAGGAGTGAATGCATGAGAAATTTAAAGCTCATGGAGGGTTGAGTTCATTTCAAGAAAAGAACATGGATCTCTATCATCCACAGGTTGCTGATATCTCAATAATAACAATCAGCAAGTAAAGAAAAACGATCAAAATAGCAGCTTTCATGACTAACCAAAATACATAAAACACAGATGAGATAATGAGTTCCTTACGATCTGTCAGAGCAGTGTAAGCAGCTTTTGCAGCATTCATCTCTGCCTGCTTCTTGCTTTTAGCTTCCCCTCCTTTGAACATTTCACCTCCTATTTCCACAGTTGACAAAAAAGTTGAATCGTGAGGTGGACCAGTTTTAATTGTATCATATGTGGGAAAGAGGAACCCCTCCTTTTGAGACAATTCTTGTAGAAGATTCTTGTACAATCCGTCATCCTGAAATCATAATGAATAATAACAAAGTGCACCCTCACAAAAGAGTAGTTGAGAAAATAATGCAAAACTATGAATACAAAAAGAGACAGAATAGAAGACTGGCCTCTTGAAAGTTATCAATTGAAAGTGATTCGAAAGCAACTTTTGCAGCTGCATGTTCAGCATCCCTTAATGTGGAAAAAAATTCCAAGGCTTTGAAAGTTCTTCCATCAATGGTGACGCTTGACTTGAAGCGACGAGAATGAGGAGGGCCATCAAGTTCACAAGAATATTCAGGTAAAGTGATATTTTTCTTTTGAGCATACTGTTGCAGCCGGTTCTTGTATGAATGTAGCATATCTGAAAACAATGAAGTTCTAAGACAGTAGGTAATATTACAATTTTCATGTTAAGTCCAAGATATAGAATGGGAAAGTAAAATTCAGCAGTGCATCACCAAGCATAGTGATACAATTCACCTCATAAATAACCAAACTAAAAACATCTTAATCAAACAGTGACATTAAAAAATCAAAATAAAAACTTTAAACCACAAACCTGTAGATTGCAATATCTTCAGGGACCCCCTTGCAGAATACAACGAACATTCACTAAGACTTGTCTGTTACCAGAGATAATGAGAAGACGTGTATCACCCATTTGTCCATTAATTCCTTATATATATCCATATTAACGAAGTTTTATATATCTACACGCATGCAGAGATATCCAACAGAGAAGCCAAAGTAATTGTGCCCTTGTGCCCCCAACTTCCCCGGCCAAGCTAACCCCCCCCCCCCCCCTGCTTTTCTCTTTGCCTTAATAAAACTTCCTAAGCAAAACCCCAGCCGCTGTTGGATACCCACTTCCACCCACCTTGAACATCCACCATCCCCCAGGAAAAAAACAGAAAACAAACAACCAAAACCCTTCCCTGTAGTTGTCCCCAACCACTGCCGAGTACAACCCACCCCCTCCTTGATGACCCCAGTACCAGTGTTATGGAAATAAATGGAAAAACAGTAGCCATGGTGGTGCCTCCACCAACCGAACCTCTCAAGCCACTTTCAAGGTTCTGTTCTCAGTTTCAAGTATAGTCTGAAACTTCTAATACATTGTAGAGATTACAGAGAAAACAGGGGGGGAGAGAGAGAGAGAGAAATTTGTAGGGAAGAGAGTGGTGGTCAGTGGAATTCCAATTGCAATTGTTGGTTTGTTATTGTGGTTTCTCTGATTAGCGTGGGTTTTGTTGGCAATTCAATGGTCCTTGCTAAAGAAGGGACTAAGATTGGGTGCAGTGGTCATGGTGGTTCTGGTTCAACAGTAATAGTTCTAAATTGCCTCTAAACTGAGATGAATTGAGACTAGCGTACTTAAATTTGGTTCAACGCTGTTTCTCTCCCTAAACCGGATAAGTGATCTAGAAGGTGCAGTGAAGTGTCAGATGATATGATGGGTGTCATGTCCCCAAAGATATGGCCATCTACGGGGTGCCATTGAACTTTTCTCAAATAATAATTCAGAGAGAACAGGCAATTGACACATTAAAATGTGATAGGGGCAAAGCATATCAATATTCCAACAGTGAGTTATCAAGTTTTGTATTAATATTTTCATTAAATTAAGCAATACCACGGTTACCACCAACACTACACGATTACCTCCATGGGGAAAACCTTAGCCACCAGAACAAGTGACAGCAGAAGTAATAATTCCAGTGATGAATATTACTCCATGATAAGTTCTTACAAATATACATCCCATTAACATGTATTAAATAATAAGATACCGAGGAAGAGATGCGCTTAGTGAATCTTTCTTCATGACTATATACGTGAAATTGCTAGACACAACCTAGAGGGGAGGGTAAATAGGTTTATCAAAAATTCACGATTGAATAAACACCAAATTAAACCTAATCTACCACAATTACTAATTCTCAAGTCAATTATGCAATTAAGTGTGTGAACCCCTTTTTCAACAACCCGAACACCCCGTACCCGTCAGGTGAATTGATGCAAAGATTTGTCAATTGATTAAATTACAATCCAATTCACCAACACTACAATGCCACACCAAAGTCAATCTTCACAAAGCCCAAATTGATAAATGACTTAAATAAATCAATTAAAGTGACAATTCATCAAACATTGTGTACGCAATGGCAAGTATATTTATGTGTGTGTGAAATTAAAGCAATCAACAAGAACATCCACAACACGTTCAATTTGTTGACGCAAAAAATCTTCTCGAAAAAAACCGTGGAGTTGATCCTGATTCACCTAGAGCCTAACCCACTATACTCAAAAGTAATTTACACGTACTCAAGTCGTATACCTCAACCACTTCCCATCGCTAGATGCTCATGTCCTTCGTAAATCTCTCCTCTGGATATTACCCACCAAAGGCTTGAGTAGCTTCACTTGGACGTGCTCACCGCAATAAACCGTCTAGGCCCATCAAGCAATCTTCAAGATTTCACACCCAAGACTCTCGGAATGCACAAACCAATGTGGGTTTGTTGATCACTAAGCTAGATCTTCTTCTCCAATGTATGAAGTTGAGTAAAAAGAATCAAGATGGTTTAGTTTTGAGTATTACGGATCTGGGGTCATTCTTGAAGCTCTCTAGAGATGTTTTGGTCTCTTTTAGACCATATAGGTTTGTTCTAGGTGAAAACTATAGCTCCATATGTATAGGCTCTAAAAATAGAGTTTAATTGGAGCCCAAGAAAATTCAGATTCAAGACAACTCAACCCGTAAGAGAACAGTTGAAAATAAATTAATCAAGACCTCAAAGTGGCAGACTGCTTGGGCAGGCCCAAGATCGCAGGCAGAAGGCTGTCTCCACTAGTTCTGTAGTTCAGCCTCACTAACTATTCAGAGACCACCATTACCGAAGGCAAGCAAGCCGAGGGCGGTCCCTATTGATTTTTAAGCTAGGAACCAAGAAAAAATTAGACTTATTAAGCACTAAAAGTGTTGCTCAAATAGGGTCCGATGAATGACTCAATCTATGTTTTCAAAACACATTTGAGGTTTAAAAATTTTTTATGAATGATAAACCTAGGAGTCATTCTCGAATAATTCTCAAATCCATTTTAATTTAATTATCCTAAATCTAAAATTAAATCAAAGATTCTAGGTCTTTAGGTTATTACCTTTGTCCTAAAATTTTGAAGGTTCATTAGATATCTATTGATTTGACTTTGACGCTTGAACACATCATTCCTCAAAGCATTCGAAACTTGATCTTTAAAGCATCATAACTATAGATTTAGGTTGAGATTTATATCAAGATTTCACAAAATTAGCCACTTACAAACATTTTTTTAATAGATACTATAACTATAAGTATAAAACATTGAATTTTTCAATAATATCAGCATCTTTTTAAAGCCTAATTGCATTCATCATCATCATGCTTGCACATAGAATGGGGAAAAAATAGAACAACCTCACATAATAAAAGAGAAATATCTTTAATGACAATCCTCTATCCAGTAAATTCTCTATTTAATCTCTTCACAAAATCAAAAAAAAAAAAAAGCTTAAATCCATTAACTCTAAAACCCCAATACATATTCAAGGGTAGCACCTACTCCTATCAATTGTTCAACAATATCCCCAATGCAGTGACACAACAGCAAATAGAATATCATAAATACATAAAAAAAGCTTCACTTGAAATCTCACATTTCGTCCATTCTCAACAGGGAGATGCACCAGAGGTAGCAATACCACTTTTCCTACCATGATATGTTGCCTTCTCAACAATATTCCAGCAACAGTTCAAGATTATAATCTCACCTGGTTTTGCCTCATCATGAACCTATTAAGGACCGGGCTCAAGTTTGATTTCATGCTTTTACCATTGGGAATACAATGTTCTTTGGTCATTAAACAGACTATTTTTCAGTCAAAAGCTAAGCAAGCATTGCAAGATATACATTCTTTACAAGTAGGGATCAATAATAGTGGTTTGCTAGGTTGGTTGTGCTCTGATGCGACAGAAAATAATATTTGATAGAGTTAGCTGATGCTGAACTTGGGCCAAAGTCCACAAGAGTTTATGCAGTCAAGATTTAGTTTATCTCTCTATTGTGAGAGGGACTTAATTAGGAATCTTACAACCGTTTTTTATTTCCAGGTGGTTAGGTGATGTCACGGGAAAATTCGGATCAAATTAGGAGGTATTATGGGAAGTTCAGTAATAGTTTTAGACAATTAACTGGAGTATAGACTTTAGGAGATACTAGGCAATTTATTGTGTTGAGCTTTGAGATTTTTTTTGGATGAACAACCATTAGTGCTTTCTCTAAATCTTTGTTGTTGCCACTTTTAGGTGAATCATCTACTATTCCTCACTCTCTTTCTGTCTATATGTTGTTCTTTGACTCTAGTTTTCTTCAATGCACATATTCTGGAATCAGAGCTAGTTCACATACTTGGAAACCACTCGAGTTTTATGCCAAGGATAGGATAACTAATCGACAGGTAAAGAGAAGAGATTTTGGTGGATTTAAATGTCAAGTGGCTGCCCAATGCAATATGTGCAAAACCTGGTGAAGAAGCAACCTAGTAACAATCATTATCCAGTTGAAGAAAATTGAAGACTACATCCCAATGATGTACCAGAAGAAGACTTTAGTGAAATACCTGACTTGGAATCTCCACCAGTTTTCAAACTGATGATCCAGAAGAAGATTTCATCAATTCAGTTGTTGATGGAAAGGACATGGTTGGAGATCCATCAAGTAAAGCTCTTTTGCAATCATCCCCATCAATCAATTTGAGTATGATATCAGGTCAATCTTCCAATTTGATCTCCACATTTTAAAAATTTTATCAACGATAAATTTTAAACTGTCTTACCCAAAACCTTAACTAATGCTCCTAAGGACGAGGGTAATCAGTGGGAAGAAATTGATCCCTCAATTTTGTCTTCTATCTTCATATTTTTATCCAAGGAACTCCAACTAGAAGCCCAGAACCAACTAGATGAGCCCACAATGTAGAAGTCACTCCTCTGAGTTGTGCTCTCACAAGACTCACTTTTCAATTGGGCAGGTTTTCATTTTGAATCATCAACCAATCAAGAAACTATTTCAGATATTTTTCATTGAATTCAATCAAAATTGCTGAAAAGTCTCTCAGACACACCCAATTGTGCTTCTATGTCATTGGTATCAGATAAACCTTAGCACTACTAAAACTATGTTGACCCTCTTCTTCTAATTCTTCTCCTCCTTACAAACCAACACTGCCACATCTTCAACTTGGATGGCTACGACATGTTTAACTGGGACAGCCACCACTTACCTTTCTGTTGTGATAAGGATCATGAAGAGCATGTTCTACATACGATTAGAAGAAGACAAAAAAGAGAGAGAATACATCTGAAATGGTTGTCCACTGCGAATGGCACAATCTTTTGGGAAAAGTATTCAATTGGTTACAATCTATATGCCATATTTTATAACTCTACTGTTGCCGTTGGGCTAGCAAACATTATATGTAAAGTTGTAAATTATTTGGGAATACATATACAAAATTAAACAGGCGAAATTGAATCAAAGCCGCTCATTGAATTTTAGCAATAGACAGTAAAATGTGAGGTTTTTGAATTGCGTAGACCAGAAATTCAGGCACCAAGAGAGCAAATTCATTCCGTGAACATAATAACGGACCAAGAATATCCAAAGTATAAAATAACTATTGAAATTAATAGTCATTATCTGAAAGGATCAAAATTTTGTTTTGAAACATCCAAAACGTATCCATTTCCAAGGAGACCGAAACAAATCAGTGATAGTATCGAAATTCTAATCCTTCAAGGTGTTCCATAATGTTTCGAGATATTTTATAATATTTCAATGTATTTACACGATTATTTCAGTATGTTTCAAGGTATTTCAAGATAATTTGGTATATTGCAACAATGTTTTGGGAAAATAATTATTAAATTTTTTATTTTTTCATTTTGTCATTGAAATGGGTTGAAACTTTTCAAAAATAAGTCAAAACGTTTTTGTTTCCTAGATGACCAAAACAATGCACCGACACAAAATTTTGATCCTTGCTTATCTCTAGAAGCATTGAAATTATTCACCAATATGTATTTCCCCAAGTTGTCTATAAGTGACGGATATCATGTAGAATCTAGCCCATTAATTTGGAACTTACAAAAATACAATGACAAGTAAATCTAGCCACAACAACAACAAGGGGCATCCATGAGACTAGAATCGTATCACTTCATTGACAAGTCAATGCATATGGAAAAGTACCATTCATTATTGTCATTTTGGAAACGACTTAATCTTCAATTTTCGTATTAATGACCACTAACTTCTCCAATTTCAGTACCACTTTCGAAGTGCATCAGATTTTGGAATGCAACATTTTTTTATGTAAGCAGTAATGCAATAATAAAAGAATTAAAGGTCAGCTTTCCAATATTCTTCTTAGCATTCTGACGGGAACACCGGCACAGATTCAACTAACAATTCAAATTTCACTTGCCCTTCAATCTTTAATTTTTTTCTTATTAGAGAAACAGACAATACATTTTTAGTCCTTAGCTACACAAGACCAAGATGATAAAATAACTTCAGCCTATCTTTTAATTACACTTCACTTAATGCATTTTCATAATAAGAGAAACTTTCAGCAGCGCATGATAAAGCATTGAAACGATCACCCAAAAACAACACAAATTTTCTCAGCAAGCTTAAATATAGATAACTATAAGTTTTTAAACGTAAAACGACTCAGGCAACCCTCAAAATCCTTGAAGAATAATTCTCATGTGAAAAGCAATGCTGCAATGTAATTGACAAGAAGATGGCAAAAACAAAATAATTTCTTTCCGACCTTTGGACCTCTTATCTTCATTGGAAGCTAATGGAGTTCTGTTAGTCTGGGGAGATCGTGCATCTTCTTGTTGGGTTGGTAGCACAATTCCAACATCCGAATTAATATTGGAAGTAGACAAACCTGCACAACTTATAGAAACTTAATAAAAACAATGAATCATCATGTTTTATTGCCTTCATCAGCATTCCTCATGAAAGCAGTATGATAACAGAAATTCAAGACCTCCAACAAAGACAATCAATAAATTAAGAAACTTATCTATTAAACCACATAGGATAGTGTACTAGACATGTCAAGCTGCAATTAAGTAGAAGAACAAACGCCAAAAAAGCAATGTGTGGTCCATAGTGTATTAGCATTTAGCACTAGAACATTATTCTTAGAGACAAAAAGAAAATGAAGGAAAATAAACAAGAAAAGGCTCTGTACTTCAAAATTTATTCAGTTCTAAGGGCCAAAGTAATAAAGATACAATGAAGAATGTCGCAAAAAATGATACCTAAACAACATTCTTATGCCACATTCAGGGTGGTTTGTGCTTATTGTAAAAGCAACCAAATAAGTGTGGCGGCCTTCTTCAAGAGCTTTAACATTAAATATTCCTTACAGCAACATGAATGACATGCACCACTGCAGGCCTAGCCGGGTTGGGTTCAGGTGGCCTCCACGAGGCTTATTCTTTCCTCCCCATTGTGAGATCACACCCTCCAAGAAATGAATGATGTTGAGATGTTCACCAATACTGCTTGTATCATGGTAAACGGCCATTACTTGGTGCAATAGCAAAAAGGTCAGATTGCCAAGCTGAATATTTAGGGCAGCCACTTCACACAAATAATATTCGTCCCCATTATATTATCCCACATGACAGTCACACCCATCTAGCCACAACAGCGCTTTCAAAATCTATGACTGGAGAAATAACAGCAGATAACACAGCTGTTCAATGGTCACAGGAATTCTCCCAGTCCACCAAACCCCCCTCCCTCCCCCCCCAAAAAAAAAAAAACAAAAAAAACCCTCGCCTAGTGAGATTACTGCTGATAGTATCCTAAAATTAGAGGCAAGCAAAATCCTTATGTGAATTGATGTCTAAAATCCCCTCCCATATCCAAAACATTACAAAAGAACTTGTCTAATCCAACCAGAAATTCAGAAATATTGTGCCAAACTAATCTAGAGTGGTCAATGAGACATTTTTATTTTTGCTTTTTGCAAATAATTTCATGCAGAAACCCACGACTAACAGCTTAATGCACAAGGCTCCCACCACGGCAGGGTGTAGAAGGGTCAACTGCACATAGTCTTACCATAAAGAGGCTGGTTCCATGACTCAATCCCATGAAACAAGATAAAATTCATCCAACAAATCACTACAAATAACGATTACATAGCTTATTCTTCGACAACTATTGCAGAACAAAACAAAATCCCAGACTAAAGGTCAATTAGTTCAAAGCCAACTAGCCGACGACAATACATTAAAATATTTTTAAATACTTTGTCATGAAATGTATACAGATTGAATATCTTGTATGATTACACAAGATTTCGTTCATACCAGAGCACAACGGACTTGGATAACCGCTAACGAGTGGTAAATCGGGTATGTTATTTTCAACGGCTTTAGCGGCAGTGAAGTGATCGAATGCTAGTTTGGCAGCTTGATTCTGGGATTCCCCAGAGGATCTACATTGATCCTTTGGAACCTCAAAAGTCACGCCATTAACAACCACTGTGGAGTTAAACCTAGGGTTGTGATCGGGACCGTCTTTCATGATCATATACTCCGGTAAATTCCATGAGTACTGGTGACAAAGCTCCTGAAGCTTCGTTTTGTACATATCTTCCTACAAATTCTTCAGAGAGAGAAGCTGGTCTTTTGATTTTAGGGCTTGTAAAGAGAGCACGAGAGTGAACAGAGGACGATAGAGGAGAGAGAGAGTAGTACGGAGTGCAGTGAAGATCGAAGAGTCTGGCGATGCATTGCAGGTTTTTGTTCGTATTAAAGATCCGATAAGAACCCATAACATCCGAAAAGCAAGGTGGGGGTTTGGTGCGTATTCTACGCTTCGAATCGACGCAATCACTTTTAGAGAGAGATAGTGGTACGGCGTGCAGTGAAGATTCGAAGAGTCTGGCGATGCATTGCACGTTTTTGTTCGTATTAAAGATTCGATAAGAACCCATGACATCGGAAAAGCAAGGTGGGGGTTTGGAGCGTACTTTACGCTTCGAATCGACGCAATCACTTTTAGCTTAGTGGAAACTGCTACGGTAACGTCGTAGAGTTGGTAGTAATCGATAATATTGGTATCGATTTTTTTTTTTTTCCGGTGTCGCAGAGTTTTCCTTAGCTACATTATTTTGGTCACTCGAAGGTACGAAGACATTTAAACAAAAATTGAAATAAAATAAAATTTTAAAAATTCATTTTAAAAAATTATTAAAATATAAAAATACCTTAAAAAACGTCAAAATAATTCAGAATATTAGTAAAAATTTACTTAAACATTTGAAAAAACCTCCGAACACTTCAAATTACATTAAAATATTAAAATTTTGATTCAATCATTTATCTTTTCATTCTCTTTAAAATAATATTTTAATTATTTTGAATCAAAAATTTGATGTTCACAAACTTTTAACCAAAGTGAATTTATTTATTTGTATTTAATGATTTAATTATAGTAAATATTTTAAACATATTTAAATCTTAATCATAATAAATATTTTAATCACGATAAAAATATATAATATTTGCCAGGTAATTTAGTTTAAATAAAAAAGGGTACCATATTAAAAATAAATAATCTTTTGCTTTATATTTCCATACAACTGAGTCTTTGAATTTTTGAGATAGTGCGAAAAAAAGGCTTTTGTAATTGCCCGTTTGGGCAAATTGCACAATTATCATTCACATGTATACATTAGACATGAAACCAAACACCCACCTTCTTCTTTCCTGTTTTTTTTTTTCTCTTCCCTCTCCCGCAGAAATTCTTCTCTCTTCCTCACACACACAGACTTCCTTCTCTGTCTCTCTCTTGTTACTGCGTCTCCTTCCTCTATGTTCCATCTTTTTTCTCACTCACAGAGGATCTCTCTCTCTAGTTTTGTCTCACAAATCCACACCCACACCCTCACACTGACTACGTGTCTCTTTCCCTCAATTCACAATGTCTCTCTTTGTCAAATGCACAAATACACAAAGATCATAGCACACAAATTCCTGATTTTTGGTAAACTCCATGGGCGATCAACCTCTGGTTCATGGAACCAACCCGAAACTACTCGCTAGTTAAATTCGGCATCTATTCCAAAGTTGAAGAAACTCATAGCTAAATTAGGTTTGAGTTTTGATGAAACATTTCTGAAATACTCCAAGACGAAGACACGTGTCATCGGTGTCACTAATTCTTGTTACTGAGATCACGTACCTATCGTCTCACAAGTCCCTCTCCCCCGAGGTATTTGTCATAGGGATCAAGTGACATCTAGTACGTTTACGTACCGACACGTATCCCTCGGTCTGATATGGGTACATCGGTCGCTATATGTACCAATCCCCCCTCGGTACTGATATGTACCAATGTCCAGGATGGCATTCTCTTCTCCTGCAGAGCTACTGATGTACAGGTCACTAGCCTAAACTAGGCTAGGTTAGTTATCATGACCTCGTCTTACACAATTTGTGTCAGAAGGCACAGGACGGTAGGGGCCACAGCAAATGGAGACTAGATGCGTGGCATATTGTGTCACATCAGAGATAGAAAGACAGCATGTCCTTGCTGACACACGACTTGGGAAAGCAAGCATTTAATTACATCATTCCCTTGATGAGACTGCATTCAATGCGGTAAGGCTCGGAAGTGAAAGACAATAAATGTCTCTAAGGCTGGACATTTATTGCATCCTCCCCGAGAGGATCTCATTAAACAGTCGGCATGCCGATGACATAGCCTTGGTTGCTCGGGATCCCGAGCAATTAAAAGAGAAGACATTCCTCGTAGGAATCAGTGCGCACGTTGCCTGTATCTAATAATCATCTGCTGACCACACTGACAGCAATCATGAGTATTTGAGGTATAAATACTCCTCGCAAAAGGCAAGGTATGGGAAAACAAAAAAACCTTGGCTACAAATTATACTCAGTGTTTTCTTCTTCCTCTCTCTCAAAAACTGACTTGATTGTCGGAGGGGATACGCCGAAAAACACTCCGACGCCTTTCTAACTTGTCTTTCTTTATTTCAAGTACCTTCCTCAGTCTTACTGGATCGTTCCACTGACCCACGAGGGTCTCGTTACCATTCCAGGTTACCACAGGACCTCACAGGCTGTCTCAGGCAGCAGGGTTGACCATTCGACTGACTCACTCGAGTTCACCAAGGGAGAGATATATTCTTGTGTTTATATTGTGCAAGATCTAGCACGCACAAGTTTGATAGCGGTGGAATATGGATAACGTCGGCAGAGAGAGAGAGAGAGACTTGGGGGTGGTTGTCGATGGTTGGGGTCGCTGTCAATGCTCAGGCGTATCGGGGGAAGGGGCAGTGGAATGGATGTGGTCGCCAAAAGTGTTCAGGTTATCGCCGACAATGTGTTGGGGTGGGGCGAAAGGGTGTCGCAGCAGTCGTCTGGGGTAAATGTGTGATACCGAGTTTGTTTTTTATTTTTTAGGGTTAATTATAAATTGTACCTGAAAAGATTGTTTGAATCTCAATTTGTACTTTCAAATATAAAAAATTAACCCTATTTTTTATTTTTTTTTTGAGTTATTTTGTTTTCCATGTATGCCCTCTGTTTGAAAGTGGGATGACAAAATTACTCATCAATATTGTCATGTGTGAGGAGGCACTTGACATTTTCTGTCTATCTTTTAAATGGTAGTTAAGGCCAAGAACCATGCTCGAGGGATGTGTGAACTTTAAACATCAATTTAATGGAATTAAAAATTTGAGGATCAAAGTGTGATTAATGACAAACCTCAGGGATTTTTTGTGCAATTTACTCTTTGAAAATTGAACAAGCCTAAGTAGACGGATCCTAGGTGGATGAGCAAATTTGGTATTTAACTTAATTATTTATTGCAACACTAATTTTACTGTAAATAGTATGTGGCAAATCAAAATAATAAAATTGAAGCTTGGATTTTATTTAAAGCACGTTTAAATGTCGAACTTCATTACTCATTTCTACATGCATGTATTTAGTTAATATGAAAAATTTGCAAGAAAATTTAAAAAAAAAAATCATTCTATTATTTGAAAGATTGGAAAATTACAAGAAATTTTTTCTAATTGCTTAAATTATTCTTAATTATATTAAATCAGTATAAAAAAGAACAAAAATATGTATTATAATTAAAAATTAATTTTTTTTTAAAAAAAGTAGCTTCTAACTAATTATGGAACAAATATCCGCATGAAGGTCTCTAGACCAAATTATATGATTAATCAAATCCATACTAATACTTTTTAAACTTAATAACCAATAAAATATTTTTAAAAGAATAAGGGTAAAATGAAAAGTTAGCTATAGTTTGTAACTTTTTTGAATTTTTTTATATTTTTTTCAAGAAAAAAAAATTAGTTAATTGTGAGAAAATCTAAGAATGAAATAAAATTATTTTTTTGCCCTCGTTTTCATTTTATGCTAATTAAACATATGAAAATTTTAAAAATTCTCTTTCTTTCATTTTTTTAACATTAGTTTTTATAATTATATAACTTGTATAATTCTTTTTCTTACTTCTAAAAAAGGTGAATAAGGTATTAGAAAAAATGATTAATAACATTTTTGGTTCATAAAATATGCATTTTATGTCAGTTCAGTTCTCATTGTATCAATTTTATCAATTTGGTGTCTAAAGTATTCAATTTGTGTCATTTTGGTCTCTACATAGACGAACCGTTAAATTTTTTATGAAATGATCACATATTGGGTAGATGATATTGTCTAAAAAAATAACATGCGGTAACTTTTATCAAAAAAATTGACAAATTATCTGATTAAGGACCAAAGTGACACGGATTGAATATTTTATTAGAGACCATATTGATAAAAATTGATTCAATTAAAACTAAACTAACAAAAATATTTAGGACCAAAAATACTATTAACCTAAAGAAAAAAAAAAAAAAAAATATATATATATATATATATATATATCCGTACGGGTATATGGGCCTTGGTAATTCCACAAAACGGCAGGCAAAGCCTTGTTTTTGAAACATTCTATCCTTCAACCACAATGAAATAAGACCTTTTTCTCTTGATTTACAGTCCATGGCCGGTCACTCATGACACAGCCTCTCTGGTTTTACATAACCAAGCCGACCTCTATTTGATTCCACATAGGTTAGACAAAACAGTCCCATTGGAAACTAACTATAAATAGAACATCTCTCTTTGCTCTCCATGCACTCCAATACAATTTCTTCAATACACTTGCTTGGCACCCACATAAACTTCTTTTTCTCTTCTCTTTAGCTACCATTCTAATGGCTTCTAGGTCTGTCTTCATCGTTCTCGCGGTTCTTTTTCCGACGGTCGCCTTTGCCACGGACTTTATCGTGGGAGATGAAGGAGGGTGGACCATAAATTTCGATTATCAAACCTGGGCAATGGGCAAAAATTTTATGGTTGGAGACAAACTAAGTATGCTATCTACATCTCTACTTTGATCATGATCTTATGCTATTTGTGTGTAGTTTGGTGTTCATTTTTGTTTTTATGACTACATAAATATGTCAATTTCTGTTTTTTATTGCGATAAACCAGTACAATTTTATTGATTAAATATATCTGATAGGAGATGAGATATAACAAAATTTGGTGCTTCATCCCTCTATAAATTAGTGTCAAGTCTGATAAATGGTGGTATGGAACTGAATTTTCTTTTAGGTTCCTTAGTCAACTCCTCAATCGAATCCAAAATTTTCAAAATGGGCAATCAGTTGACTCGTTTTTTAGCTTGAATATTTGATTAAATTAGGGTTAGTTCTCGAAATTCACAACTCACACTGATATACAAGTTCCATCCGAGTTGGATTTATTTCACCCGAATACTGAAAATATCTAACAAAACATTGAATATTTCAGATTTGATTGGGGTTGATATGTCAATGTTGCATTGTTGTTTGGCATTAGTGCATTAAATCTAGGTAGTTACTCAAATGCTTGTTTCAATGAAATATGCAGTTTTCCAATATCCAAAGGGAGTTCATAATGTCTTCAAGGTCAATGGAACTGGCTTTCAGTACTGCACAAAGCCACCATTGAAGGAAGCTCTAACCACCGGAAACGACACGATTGTGCTCTCAACGCCGGGGCAGAAATGGTACATCTGTGGTGTTGCTCAACACTGTGCTCTTGCGGGTCAAAAACTGGCCATCACTGTGAACTCTATGGCACCAGCTCCAAGTGTTTATCCTTCTATGACCTAGCTATGGCCCTTCTCAAGCCATGCCTTACTCGAGTTTGGCCAATGGAATCATTGTCAATGTGTTTCACTCTTTCGTGGTGGTGGTGGTTGCAGTTCTGCTGTCTTCTGGGGTTTAGTTTTGAGGTTTTCACACAAGCATAAATAATGTTTGCATTGAGTTGGTTGCTTAATTTGGGCAACTACCAGCTCATTCATAGTGGTTGCTTTCCTATATTATGTTAGTTTTTGTCATAAGCATCACAGGTTTGAGTTAGAAATGTACTCTCTTATTCCGTGGGGGCACTCTGAGGATTCAAATGACTAGACAGATTTTGTACGATATTTTAATGCTTGCAATAATATTTTATTATTGTTAATTAACTTTTTTTTATTCAACGGTTAAAAATGTTCAGATCAACTTACGTATACTTCGATAATTCAAATGTCAACTTTTTCTCTACGCATGTTCTAAGTTACTCTTAGAATTATAAACGGTCTTAGACTTTTTTTTGATTATGCATCATAATTAATCCCAAAGGACACATAATCCTATATTATGATTATTATAATTCTAAGATATATAATCACTAAGAATAACTTGTGTGTGAAGATACAGTGTAATATAAAATTCGAGCATCCAAAAAAGAATGTGTTACTTATTTCACAGATACGATTTACAGATATGGACATCCAAAATTAATACAATTCAGATATAAAAGTGGATACACATAACAATATGTGTAAATTTTAAATTTAAATTTTTATTGTTTCCTCTCAAATTCAAATCAAATTTTAATTTTTTCCTAAGTATTATCTACTATCACTGTATCACATATCAAAAGGATATAAAATAGGTTAATTACACGAGTTTGACATATGACTAAACTCTAAATGGCCTCTGATGACTACACACTATTTTACTATTAATTGTTATGAGTTGTTCAGCACACTAGGGTTTGAACACTACTATTTTTTTTTTTAAATAGTATAGTCATAAAGTATCAATTTTTTTGAGTGGGTGGGTGGGTGGGTGGGTGGGACTTGAACCCTTAACCTCAAGAAGATAAAACCTTTACAAGATAAAAAGTACCATTAGACTAAAAGTCCGTTGGTAAATACTACTATTTAAATACCTTATTTGTGATTAATATAACAAACACTAAAAATTATGTCTACATTAAATTTCTCTACAAGATTTTAACAATCGCATATATGAACAAGTTTGGTTGTTACAAAAGCGAAACGATGATTATAAAACTGAGAGATTTTTCAAATCAAAAGAGTATTATCCAAGAGTATAACGAGAATGGGCTTTTCGTGCCAATGAATCGAACGAACTATTCACACTACTTGATAATGAACAAAAGTGGATTTATACACAATCAAATCAGTTGAGTGTTTGATGCAAGTCAATTAATGAAACAATTAATAGTAAGAGACAAAGATTGGGTGGTTGGGTCTGGGTGACCTAACCATTGAAAGTGGTGACGGTGGCCAGAGAACTCTATTAATGAGAGAGTACAAGGTAGTAGGGGAGAGAGAGCGCAAAAGTACGCTCAAGGTGAGGTAAGGTGTCTCTGTGTGAGAGATAGTTGTTTGTCTGTCTATATCTCTCATGTGTAGAGGGCTTATTATTTATAAGTATAGAGCCCTAGTTGAGACGGTGAAGTGAGAATCAAGCTACTTATCTATCGAGCAGGATAGCTATAGTTGGAGATGGGCACTACCCTGAAATAATGGTTATCCCGATAATTGTTCTCTCACGTGTGTTGACTCTTCCTGACTCTTAAGCTAAGGCCATGAGCTAGGTCTAATATGTCTTTTGAAGGTTTGGGCTCAACCCATGAACTAGGCCAACTTGGTCTAAATCTGAGTTCATCATTTGCCCCCCGTGCCCCAAACCCCAATAATGATTAGGGGTTGAAGGCATAAGTGAGCTCCTCCATTTGGGTAGACCAGATATCTTGTTCCATACAATGGTTTCTTCATCTTTCCACTCCATTGCATTTTTGGAAACTTATTTCCTCGTTTGGTAGCACAAGTAGTAGAAAGAGGAGAAAAAGAGGCATCTTTCTGCGGGAGGAGATGAAGATGTTTTGGCAAATAGCGTCTTAGAAAGGGAGAGAAGACGCCATGGAGATGATCCAAGGTGACACCATAGGTGATCCCATGGTTGATAGACCAATGTAATTAGGATGGTGACTTCTCCTCCTCCTAAGAGGGTGAGATTTGATGCCTCTAGTGCTTCGCAACTGATGTCTGATGCCCCTAGTGCTCCTAGTACTTTGCAACTAAGGTCTAATGGCCTACTGTTTCTCAAAAGACGGGATTTGATGGTGTCCCTACTCCTTCTCAGCATGTGACCCTTTTGAGTCCTAAGGATAGTCCCAAGACTACTTTAGAGATTGAGACTCATGTGCAGACTTTCATTGAGATGGGAGCTTCATATAATTGTCCTAATTCCAACGGTGGCTCGGTGCAGGACGTGAATTTGGTTAAGGAACATCTTTGGAGGTTTGTGACAACCTCGGATATTAGAGAGGTCAGGTCACGGGATCCTGAGAGTAACATCGATACCATGATGGAGGGCTTTGCTATGGTACCCTTCTTGTCTTCTGTATGTTTTGGTCATATTGACACTCATGCTTTTGGATATTCGCAGATTGCTGCGGCTTTTCCATGCCTTTTTTTCGAGGACACTTAAACTTGATGAGATGTTGAGAGCTTTGGCAAAAGAGAAACAGATGTTAGGTTGCTAAGGAGTAGTTAAGGTTGAGAGTAACTTGTCTTAAGGCATAGTTTACATGTAAGCAAAAGTAGGGTTTGGCCAAACTTGTGGCGACTTGTGAAAGAGGCTCTAAACTGGAGACTACTTGTGTGAGTGAGGGCAGAGACAGAGTTAGGTCAAACGTTTAGTGACTCGTGAGAGAAGCGCTAAGCTGAAGACATAGGTTGTTTGTGTAAGAGCAGAGGTAGAGTTAGGTCAAACTTATGGCGACTTGTAAGAGAGCTACTAAGCTGGAGATTGAGGCTACTTGAGAATAGAGGTAGGATTAGGCCGATCTTTCTGGAGACTCGTGAGAGCTATAAAACTGGAGACATAGGTTGGTCGCATGAAAGTAAGGGTAAGAAGAGGCCGAGCTATTGGCAACTCGTGCAAGAGGCACTAAGCTAGAGACATATGCTACTTGAGAGCAGAGGTAGGATTAGACTGAGCTTCTGGTGACTCATGAGAAAGTTATTAAGCTGGAGACATAGGCTACTTGAGAACAAATGTAGGATTAGGTCGAGCTTTTGGCGACTTGTTAGAAAGGCATTAAGCTAGATACATAGGCTGCCCACGTGAGAGCAAGGGGCAGGAAGAGACTAAGTTTTTGGCGAATCGTGAGAGAGGCGCTAAGCTGGAGATATAGACTGCTTACGTGAAAGCAAAGACAGAAAAAGGCCAAGCACGAGGCTCTTTCCCAAGAGGTAGAATAGAGGAGAGGAAGGACAATGAGGGTAGCTAGAGGACGCGGGTAAGATAGAGCTAGCAAGCATGGGCGTCGATCGCGAGCGGCAAGGCTCCCTAATACGCTAAGAGGGGTGACACTAGTCGCTACTGGACAACATGGGCACACGATGCGGCGGTGCACCCAGACGGGCGAGAAGGCAAGCGCCAGGGTAGGCAAGGCAAGTCAAGGCAAATGTAAAGGTAAGGGTATCGTCCTTAGGGTTTCAAAGGTCAGTATATATATAAATTTGACTTATCCCTTTTCTTATCCACTCCATTCCATAAGCTATTAAGGGAGGTAAAAGGAGAGGAACATGAAAGCAAGTGGGAGGACGACATAATCAATGATAGAAGTCACAGGCGATGACACCAGAGGGGGCTAAGCGGTGCCAAGAATGAGGGCCTGTAGGGCGTTGGTTGCTGCAAACTGCTAAATGGCACTAGTGGGGCTAGCTAGGCGACGCCCTGGGTGAGGCAAACTTCGGCACCAGTGGAGCTGGGGTAGCCTAGGGTGTTGGACGGCAATGCTGGAGCAACTAGCAAGGGTAGATGCCAAGGTGCTAGGTAGCTCTAGGTGATGCTAGGAACGTGCTGGGTGATGCCTGGAACACGCAAGACACCAAGGAGGAGTTGGGTGATGCCTGGAACGCGCAGGGCACCAAGGAGGCTTTAGGTGACATAGGTCTATGTGGCGAGCTGGGTGGTGTTAGCGGTGACGATGACATCGTTGGACTTCACAATGGGTTGGCCGAAGGAGGTTGCGACGCCCGCGTAGGGGCAGAGGAGACAATTGTGCAGTGACTTGGACGACGCCCTTGGCGTTGGAGATGGCCAGCAACGATGGCCTAGGTGGCTCCCCTAGGCAGTCAAAGACAACTCCAGCATAAGAGGCAATGCCAGCTGGGTAGAGGCAGGTGCAGGCGCAGAGGCGGCGCCAGGTTGGGTGATGCCATACTGGCGCTGAGCTCTAGTGTGCACACTGAGGATGTGTGCGACACCTTAAAACAGAGCAGTTTGAGCGACGTCTTGCAACAGGTGGTCTGGGTGACATCACTCGCAGGCAGTGGCCATGGGCAACGCCAAGCTGGCATAGGTGGGCGTGCTAGTGCCTGGGGATTTGGAAATTGGGGCCCTGGGGTGGCTGGGCGCGACAATTGGGCGCCTAGCGTATTAGAAAACAATAAAGAAATGACAAAACTTTGAACGGTCATAACTTTGTGCTCGGTTGTCCATTTGAAACGATTTTTTTTAATCCAAGTATTTTTTTCAAGATCTACGACAATCGAACCGCCTACCAAATTTTCTCAATAAATGCTTCTTTCTCACTAAATTTGAACTTTTAACTACAAATTAGTGAAAAAGTAAATTTTGCACGTATCCACTTTCTGTATTCCCGACTACGTGAGAACTCAGCTCGCCTTGCTTTGGCAACATACTCAGCATGAGGATTTGTTGGTTCTGGTTAATCAATTATTGCATGTTATCCAACACTTGTTGGAATTCAAGGACCTCCAACAGTTGTTGGGATTGAAGAACGGGATTCGCTGGTGGTGACGAAACCTCGTCGTGGTGTGGCGGGTCATCTTCTGCTTAGTGGTTTATGGATCTGATTGTGATTGTGACTGTCATAGAAGGTAGGGAGACTATAGGGTGAGAATCAAATCGTTTTCATAGACGGCGTCAAACTGATGATGCACAAATATGAATTTATGCACAATAAATAAATTGAGTGTTTGATGCAAGTCAATTAATGAAGCAATTAATAGTAAGGGACGAATATTAAGTGATTGGGTCTAGGCGACCTGACCACTGAAAGCGGTAACGGTGGCCGGAGAACTCTATTAATGAGAGAGTACAAGGTAGTTGAAGAGAAAGAGCGTGCAGTACACTCAAGGTGAGGTGAGGTGTCTCTATGTGAAAGATAGTTGTCTATCTGTTTGTCTGTGTCTCTCATATATAGAGGGCTTACAATTTATAGGCACAGAGTCCTATAAAACATTTGTTGTCACTATACTGTTTGTTACAAGATGAAAAATTTTGGTAGACAAAGTCATCGATTGAAGACGAGACCTCTTATTTAATTCTCACTCTAGGCATGCTTGGCGATGACAACTCGATGGTAAAGAAGGAAAGTATCTAGCCTGAACGGGGGGCACAATGTCTTGTCTCATTCGTGACATGCAAGTTTTCCCAATTGAAGTTTAGAGCACGCATTTTCTTTCCTAGCACAATGTATTTCTAATTCAAGCCTTAAGCATTGCGACAAAGTTGATTTTAATATAACATTATAGTTTGGTGCCTAAAATGGGCGGGAGGAGAAATTTGTGTGGGATGCATTGTAGATTTTTGGATTAAGTTAGAAGATTTGAGATGAAATTTAGGCTATTGAATAAAAAGTAGATTAAATTTAAACCGTTCGTGTGCTTTACCAATTGGATTAAAATTAAATTAAATTAAATTTTGAAGTGAAAAAATATTCAAATTGGACTTTATCTTATTAATATAGATATAGATATCCTCTGCCTTGTTGACGGAGTTTGGCCTTCAAATTTATTTGAAAGGCACCAAACTGATCAGTGTACCTCTCTACTGATGCCAATTGAAGAAATGTGATAACCAGTTCGCTCATTTATTTTTGCAGTATATGTTCTCTCTTTTTTGTCATGTCTTCATCTGAAACGAAGGGACTATTAACGTTTTGGTTGTATACTGAAAATTTGGAATGTGATTCTGTTCTCCACCGGTCATCCAAATGAGTGTTTAGTCCCCTAACTTTTGGGTGCTTTGGTATTTTTACTTTACCACTTCCAAGTTCAAAATTTTTTACATGACACGTGCATAACACGTGGGTTAGAGTTAATTGTTTTTTTTTTTCATACGAATTTTAAAACACAACGAGCTAACAAAATTAATAAACAGGTCAATTTATTGTCAAATATGAATAATCCAAATTTAATACGATAAAAGGTTTAATTAGTATTATATTAAGAAAATATCTTTGTGAAATTAATTTTTTTTACTTATTTTTCCTATTATATAAGGATTTAGTGGACTTTTAATATATGAAAAATCTATAAGTGATAAGTTTAGTCAATAGATAATGTGATCTTAGTCTTGAATTTTTTTTATTTGTAGGTAAATATAATTCAATCTAAACACATTAATAAACAAGTTGTGTTAATTTTAGGACATCTTACACAATTAATTGAATAAATCAAGTTATGATTAACTAGTACTTGACACAAACCTAAAATAACATAACCTAAACACAATTACTAAGACTCATCATGACTCGATTCCCATCCCTAGCCAATTTTCATCTCATTAGTAAAGTAAGAAATTGTAAATTTTGACCAAGCCTAGATTGCTAGGATTAAGGGATTAAGTCTAGTTTTTTAGAGTGCGATACTTCTAAATTCCAAATGCAGGAGAGAACAATCCAAATGTTACAACTCCCTTAATCTCAAAATTCATCGTCGAGATTACATGTTCCTGCCATGCCCATCGTTGATATCTTATTGACTCGATACCGTGACAGGTACAAAATAACAGTTAACGATAGATTTGGCCAAATCTAGATTATAACAACCCACTGACAAAGAAAATAGGTGCAACAATTTGCTTTTTGAGTATCAAGAATCATTCCAACTGTAACCCCTTTAAACTCGTACCTACAACGTAAATTTAACGTGTAAATTTATCCAAAAACACATGCATTGTGGGACCCGAGACCTAATCCGAGTTGCCCAACAATTTCATGAGAAATGTAAACCCCCACAAGACAACTGAATCAACTGAGCAAAACTACTCTCTAGCTTAGGGTGAACCATACGTTTTGATATCTACACTGGAAAAAGACTAGATCATTCCTCACCAGGAAATTTCGTTAAAACGTATTAGTTATTCAAGGTTAAAACAAACTACCCAAAGGTAACAGCCATAACAAAAGAAACAGGACAGGAATATGTAGATAGTCAACTACTCTGATTTATGTCCACCCTCAACGCCACCCATTTGTCATCGCTAAAAGGCAATTCAGTAGCACCATCAGTAAATGCCATGCTTGACTTACGTGGACAAACGATGACCTTGCTGCGAGTTAAGGTACCAGCTTCAGCTGCTGTATCAGTATCCAACTCCACAACTGAACTAGTTGAGTGCTCCACGGGAGAAGGTGAAGACAGCTCACCTTCAGATGGAGAAGTGGTAGAAGGAAAAGGATCACGAAGATGGGCATATGCAGTGTCTGACGAAGGCGAGCATCTGAATCTTTTTGCATTTATATCTATTTCTGGAGATAAATCGAGGGAAAGGATTAGAGCCTGTTTCACCATCTATTGGAATTAATTTGGATGATTTATACTAGGCATTGATGCAATAAATGCATTGTACATGGAACAGCTCAACATCAAGGATGCAATTGTAACATTATAACACAAGAAAGCTCTATATAATAAGTAAACATAAATAAGCTTACTATCTGCGGTAAAAGGGAACTTCATAGCGGAATTTTGAAGAACAAGAAGGGAGGAAAAGCGTAAAATCCTATATGTGAGTCCTATGAGAAGCCAAAACTATGAAAAAAAAAGAGGATTTGTTCCAAGCTCCCTCCACGGATATCCACACAAATGACTAGATGGACAGCTGATGCATATTAGAAGATCATTTATCAAAAGAAACAGGGATCGCCAACAAATAGTAAAGCAACAAAAATTAGGTTAGAGGTTGGCACTACTAGCCACCTCTCAGATGTTTTCCTTCTCGTGTAATCTTCCATCAAAACCTAGATCAGCCAGTTATAAGCCTCCGATCTATGAAACATTGCAGCAACTTTGGCACAAGAACAGGGCAGTGCATATAGAAATAGTGTGCAGCTAATATGACGATTAGTAAACAGACTTCTGACACTAGTAATCTAGCAATAGAATAATCCTGCAAAATTAACAGAATTAAAAGTTTTGAGAACAACACCTTTTTCTTCTGTCTTTTGTTCTTCATCCATTACAAGTTTGGCTTTCCGTCTGCTATTCTGTTGCAAATCATCGGTAGCAATGGACTGCACACAGGAGGGTGAGACCTTCAACTCTTCCTCTACATTACAACCAGGGGAAAGAAGTTTAGGGTTCTTAGATGCTCCGCCTGCATGCACAAAAATGACCACGATGTCTAAACCTCATATATAGCCACAACAATCCAGAAGTTGATATCAGAGTAGTATCCTTAAACCTAATCCCATCTAGTTGTTTCTTTTTATGTATTTCCCTTTGTCCCTCTTCTTTATTTAATTGTTCATACCTTTGAGCCAAAGGACACCTATGAAATTAAGCAAGACAGTACATTTTACATTCTTTAAAATCAACACCTAGCACAGATATTATACCAGCTAGGGTATAGACCACTGAAAACCAGTAGTAGTCTGAACAGTAAATCAAATATTACAGGTTTCAGAAAACCTTGGCACTCACTGAAATTAGAACTAAAATTTAGAACATTCTAGGGTCAAGAAAGGCTGCAATGTGTGGTTCTCAATGTTTAACTTGAGTCCTCTAGAGAGTCAAACTTTTCAAATACATCCCACTCAGCTGAGATTGGATTTTCAATGATCCATTAGATGATGCTTGCTAGGTGTTCACAAACTTCGAACCTTGGCATAAATTCACAAACCAGCTCAATTTTGCCAGGTGGGTGCTTGTACATAGCCTGGTAATTTAAGCATGCAAAACAAAAGTGACTCCAACGCATGATGAGAAAGCACATGAAACATCCATGCACCACTAATGCTACGTAGGCCTGGAAAATGTTGAAGAACAACATGATAGTAAGGACTCATATGATAGCAAACTGTTATCAGCAAGAATTAGCCTTAGTTCTTCAATGATGGTTAAATATAAAGCCGACTCTGACTGGCTCCATTCCCTTTCTTTCACATACATGCCTGTACTATGAATATTTGCACTTTTTCGATACCTAACAACAGTAAACCTCAGCTGGAGAACATGAAGGTATTTAACAACAGCTTCACAACATGGATTAAATTATATCAAAGTAGCAAGTAAAGCTCTATAACCATACATGAATTCACTTTGAGAAATAAGAGAAAAGTCAGTAAGGGATGTTTGAACATAAACATCGAAAGGAAAGATGCTAAATCCGAAATGTAAGTACATTAAGATACCCTCACTAATATATAAAGCAACTTGAAAGTAATGTCCCAGCTTCCCATCTTCACAACCAGGTGAATAACAAGAGATACTGGTTGATGCATGTTTCTCTCATTGAAAGGTGTGCCAGGGCTGCCTACTCAATCCCTATTATATATTCAGAGAAAGCTAGTTCCAGAGAGTCACAATACCCCGCTAATGTGTAAAGCAACTTCAGAGTAATGTCCCAGCTTCCATCTTCAGCACCCAGGTGAGTAACCAGTTATTCTGGCCGATGCATGTTTCTCTCATAGAAAGGTGCCAGGATTGCTTACTCAATCCTGATTTTATTGAGAGAAGGCTAGTGCCAGGGAGTTATACTGTCAGGTAAAAAGTCAGCAATCCTGGTCATGTCCCTAAATTTTTCACTACATATCTAGTCATGGAATCATGACATTGGTCAGACAGTTATGATAGTCCAGCTAATGTGAAATTTACATCACCACCTGTAACAGTAGGACTCACAGTAGAAAACATTTTTCATGACTTCCTACTTCATTTCAGAACGAATGTCATGAGGACACCAGTAGTTTAGCATTGGAAATGGTGCAGGATAAACAATATCAAGAGTTTGAAAAACACACCTTTCTCTTCCTCTGCTTGTTCCTCACAAATTATGAGGCTGGCTTGTGGATTGATGTTTGGTTGCAATTCATAAGCAACAACGGACTGCACACCGGAAGATGCGACTCCTGAAGCTTTCAGTATGTAACAACCAGGGGAAAGAACATTAGAGTTCTGAATTGCTCTCCCTGAAAAGAGATGACAAAATTTATTGTAAAAGCAGTCTTATGACTTGATCAAATACAGTAATGATCGGTTTTCGCATTGTACAATATAGTCTCCCTTGGATTAACTGTGCATGGATTTAAGATGCGTTGTACAGGTTTAAAGTGCTCATTTATGTATCACTCCATCCTCTGGGCTTCAGACATCCTCATTTGGGCCCTCTCTCGTCCAAGGTGATGTATACTTTTGGGTGATAACTCCCACCATGCTAGCTATCACCATCCCACTGGTATAGGGTGCACCGAGAGACGCACGGGCCTTAGGTAGCCTCCACACTAAGAGTGTCACCACTGGCTTTGATACCAATTGTAAACTCGGGCCCGCATGGCACAATATTGTCCGCTTTGATTTAGGCCCTCACAACTTAAGACATGTTGTAAAATGAAGATCCAAAACACCCTCCACACCCACTTCACCAATTGAGGTGGGGTTGGATCATCACAAATATATTCCACATAAAATGTAAATCACTCAACACCTAAATGCATTGTCTAAATATCTCATGGTATGTTTATAAATTTATCCTCTTTGTCCTTCTTTAGTCTAAACAATGTTACCTGGAACACGTCATTTTGATACCTGGAATGGAATAGGAATGTAGTATGCCACTTTTTTGAAAAGTGATGTGTATATAGATGACATAGACTGCGTTGAGACAATTATAAATGAGATGGTTTTGTTCATTTGAAAATAGATGAGCATTGCAACCTAAACATGTAGAACCGTAGATGTATGTTCCCAGACTATTTCCTCCATTTTCATATGCAATATGTCTTGTTAGATTAATTTGCTATCTTATATATTTCTTTCCATAAAAATCTGAAGTAATTCAAGGAAATAGAAAAAGTTTTGGATCATCCATTCTCCAAATATAATTCTGGATTGAAAATGCAGAACATGGGTATGTGTATGGGTATGGCAATGGGTATGAGACATGTTTCTGATGTGTCTAGTTTGAGGACATGAAACTAAGAAGCATACCAGTGATAAAAATGCATTAAATAAATTAACACAAAATTTCTTTCTTAGTTCTCAGTCTTACAAGATTGCTTATAGTCAAGTGCCCATGCTAAACACCCCATCTCAGATAAAATACCATATTTACCCCGTAAAAGATGAACCATGAACAATTTCCATTTCAGCCACGTCCTTGGATATGATAATTAGATATCTAACAGAAAAACTCACACCTACATCTTAGGGCCCATCTCACGTGGTTCTAAATGTTCATATCTCTAAACCAAGGACAACGATGGAAATTAAGTACAGAAACTCCACTACCAATTAGAAACTTTGACCATCAATCCAACTTCAAAGGACATAGATTGAACTAGTCAGTGGTAACTGAACATTAAACCAAATATTCAATGTTTTAGAAAGCTTATGAACAATATGACAAAGTCCAGTTTCTTTATTATTAAATAAATCTTTAGGCTTCAGAGTTCCCTAAACACTCGAGACTTTTAACTAAGTGCCACCCTAAGATTTTGGATGCCCAATCTCACCAGAGAACTTCCATGATCAATCAGATGATTCTTGCCATGAGTTCACAAGTTGGAACATTTGCATCAAAGCAGGTATCAGCTCAATCAGCCAAGTTGTCAGTAGTCCGATCTTTAAAGCACAACAGATGTTAGTGGCTAGTGAGCAGCCACACCATGCAAAATACAAAATTAATTCCATACAATGTTGAGAGCCAAGAAGCACAGGACTCAGAATCCAAAGCTATGAAAACAGAGCAAGAAAATTATTGTACTGAGTTTGTCATAGCAATCACAGTATTGGTACATCTTTTTTTCTGGTTCATGGAAGAATTTCAGCCCCAAACTCTTTCCCTGTCACCTTGTTTGAGACAAATGCCTCGCTGATGACACCTATGCCTCAAATTGATGGGCCCAATATCCTATATCTCAATTTGATGGGAAATATATAGTATGGGCACCTTGAAATGGATGCACCCATTCATTTTACACGCCTCATGTTATGCAGTTTTATGGCCGAAGATGTGATTGGTTTCAGGTGTGTCACGAGTAGAATTGCCCCAGCAAAACTTGACCTGTTCTGTAACAACCCTAGCCCAACTCACTACTTAATTTTTCATAATAAACACTGAAACACATTAGCAGGCATCCTCATCCCACAGGGCAGAAAGTGTCCTTTCAACATTTATTTGAACAGAAAAAAAGAAAACCAAACCAGAGTTTGTATGTCTAAAACAGAACTGAAGGTGCAAGAATCGTCTGAGCTCTTAGAATCAACATTGAACTACTAGTCAACCATAAACAATAAGACTACACTACACTAAGAGAGACAAGTAATATCACTTTCCATTGATTTACTAGGCCCATTGAGGATAACGAAGTAAAAGAATTGGTAAATGGAAAAGCCTAAAGCATCTAGGATGATGTGCAAGGTCTGCGAAGAGTTAGATGAACGCAATCTTTTAACTCCATGAGCGACTATTTCCGCGACTCAAACCCTTAACACCGAAAGTTCCAATGGAGCAACCTTACCGTTGTGTTAAGGTCCACCCTCATACAAAGGAAAGAACCAAAAAAAAAAAATGAAGGTAACAAGTGCAGCCAAGTTCTAGAATGTTTGAGTAGGAATCATACAAGTGTCGAGTAAGATTATTTCATTTAAGAACTTAGAATGCAAACTTCACAGAACTGCCAAAATCAAGATTCAATAATATATGAATACAATCACTTAATTTCTTCATATCAATTTGTGATCACCTATTATCAATTCATATGTCCTATCATCCTCGTATAGGGTTTGCTTTAGTATAACCGAGAATTACTCTCACCATCATACTCAAAAAGTAACACAACAGATCTACCATTCATCATATTCAAAACAAAATCACTTGGTTAGATCATTGTGTCATACTGTCATGATTTCACAATCAAACACCTAATGCCAAAGAGGATCACACCCCCCTCCCCCCAAAAAAAAAAAAAAAATATATCAAAGGCTTGCTCAAAAAGAATTTCACAGCTAACAGAAAATTTAATGGTCAAATAAAAATCTTCTATCAGTAGACTATTTTCACAAGGATCTGTTTGCCATTCACTTAGCATATCTCAAAGAAAAATGGGCTGACAACACCTAAAAATTCAATAAACTAGCAAACCCATACAGCAGAATCATTGGAGTTCCTTCATTCTCACTGCTGTTCATAAATTCACTAAAATTAAAATCTCAAGAGAATCCTTCTTACTTAATCACTGATGAGCATCAAACCAGTTCATGAACATAAGAGAAATTTTTTTGATAGGAGTGAATGCATGAGAATCTTAAAGCTCATGGAGGGTTGAGTTCATTTCAAGAAAAGAACATGGATCTCTGTCATCCCCAGGTTGCTGACATACCAATAATAACAATCAGCGAGTAAAGAAAAACGATCAAAATAGCAGCTTTCATGACTAACCAAAAAACAAAAAATGAGATAATGAGTTCCTTACGCTCCGTCAAACCAGTGTAAGCAGCTTTTGCAGCATTCATCTCTGCCTGCTTCTTGCTTTTAGCTTCCCCTCCTTTGAACATTTCACCTCCTATTTCCACAGTTGACACAAAAGTTGAATCGTGAGGTGGACCAGTTTTACTTGTATCATATGTGGGAAAGAGGAACCCCTCCTTCTGAGACAATTCTTGTAGAAGATTCTTGTACAATCCGTCATCCTGAAATCATAATGAATAATAACAAAGTGCACCCTCACAAAATAGTTGAAAAAATAATGCAAAACTATGGATATAAAAAAAGGCAGAATAGAAGACTGGCCTCTTGAAAGTTATCAAGTGAAAGTGATTCGAAAGCAACTTTTGCAGCTGCATGTTCAGCATCCTTTAATGTGGAGCAAAATGCCAAAGCTTTGAAAGTTCTTCCATCAATTGTAACGCTTGACTTGAAGCGACGAGAATGAGGAGGACCATCAAGTTCACAAGAATATTCAGGGAAAGTGATATTTTTCTTTTGAGCATAGTGTTGCAGCCGGTTCTTGTATAAATGTAGCATATCTGCAAACAAAGAAGTTCTAAGACAGTAGGTAATTTTACAATTTTCATGTTAAGTCCAAGATATAGATTGGGAAAGTAAAATTCAGCAGTGCATCACCAAGCATAGTGATACAATTCACGACCAAACTAAAAACATCTTCATCAAACAGTGACATTAAAAAATCAAAATATAAACTTTAAACAACAAACCTGTAGATTGCAATATCTTCAGGGACCCTCTTGCAGTATACGATGAACATTCACTGAAGACTTGTCTGTTACCAGAGATAACGGGAAGACGTGTATCACCCATTTGTCCATTAATTCCTTATATATATCCATATTAACAAAGTTTTATATATGTACACGCATGCAGAGATATCCAACAGATAAGCCAGAGTAGTGGTGCCCTTGTGCCCCCAACTTCCCCGGTCAAGCACCCCCCCCCCCCCCGGCTTCTCTTTGCCTTAATAAAACTTCCTATGCAAAACCCCAGCCGCTGTTGGATACCCACTTCCACCCACCTTGAACATCCCCCAGGAAAAAACCAAAAAACAAAAAACCAAAACCCTTCCCTGTAGATGTCCCCAACCACTGCCGAGTACAACCCACCCCCTCCTTGATGACCCCAGTACCAGTGTCACGGAAATAAATGGAAAAATAGTAACCATGTTGGTGCGACCACGAACCGAACCTCTCAAGCCACTTTCAAGGTTCTGTTCTCAGTTTCAAGTATGTTCTGAACCTTCTAATACATTGTAGAGATTACAGAGAAACAGGAGAGAGAGAGAGAGAGAGAAATTTGTAGGAAAGAGAGTGGTGGTCAGTGGAATTCCAATTGTAATTGTTGGTTTGTTGTTGTGGTTTCTCTGATTAGTGTGGGTTTTGTTGGCAATTCCATGGTCCATGCTTAAGAAGGGACTAAGATTGGGTGCAGTGGTCATGGTGGTTCTGGTTCAACAGTAATAGTTCTAAATTGCCTCAAAACTGAGATGAATTGAGACTAGTGTACTTAAATTTGGTTCAACACTGTTTCTCTCTCTAAACCGGATTAGTGATCTAGAAGGAAGTGCAGTGAAGTATCAGATGATATGACGGGTGTCATGTCCCCAAAGATATGGCCATCTACAGGATGCCATTGAACTTTTCTCAAATAATAATTCAGAGAGAACAGGCAATTGACACATTAAAATGTGATAGAGGCAAAGCATATCAATATTCCAACAGTGAGTTATCAAGTTTAGTATTAATATTTTCATTAAATTAAGCAACACCATCAACACTACACGATTACCTCCATGGAGAAACCTTAGCTACCAGAACAAGTGACAGCAGAAGTAATAATTCCAGTGATGAATATTACTCCATGATAAGATCATACAAATATACATCCCATTAACGTGAATTAAATAATAAGATGCTGGGGAAGAGATGCACTCAATGAATCTTTCTTCAAGATTATACACAAGGAATTGCTAGACACAACCTAGACAGGAGGGTAAATAGTTTTATCAAAAATTCAAGATTGAATAAACACCAATTTTAAACCTAATCTACTACAATTACCAATTCTCAAGTAAATTATACAATTAAGTGCGTGAACCCCTTTTTCAACAATCCGAACACCCCGTACCCCGTTAGGTGAATTGATGCAAAGATTTGTCAATTGATCAAATTACAATCCAATTCACCAACACTGCAATGCCACACCAAAACCAATGTCCACAAAGCCAAAATTGATGAATGAATTAAATAAATCAATTAAAGTGACAATTCATCAAACATTGTGTATGCAATGGAAAGTATATTTATGTGTGAAAAATTAAAGCAATCAACAAGAACATCCACAACACGTGCAATTTGTTGACGCAAAAACTCTCCTCGAAAAAAACCGCGGAGCCAATCCCAGTTCACCAAGAGCCTAACTCACTATACTCAAAATCAATTTACACATACTCGAGTCTTATACCTCAATCACTTCCTATGGCTAGATGCTTCTTTCTATCGTAAATCTCTCCTCCGGATATCACCCACCAAACACTAGAGTAGCTTCACTTGGACATGCTCACCGCAATAAACCGTCTAAGCCCCTCGAGCAATCTTCAAGGTTTCACACCTAAGACCCTCGAAATGCACAAACCAATGTGGGTTTGTTGATTACCAAGCTAGATCTTCTTATCCAATGTGTGAAGTTGAGTAAAAAAGATCAAGATGGTTTAGAGATATTAGAGATCTAGGGCCATTCTTGAAGCTCTCTAGAGATGTTTTGGTCTCTTTTAGACCATATAGGCTTGCTCTAGGTGAAAACTATAAGCTCCATATATATATAGTCTCTAAAAATAGAGTTTAATTGGAGTCCAAGAAAACTCAGATTCGAGACAGACCACTCAACCGATAAGAGAACAGTTGAAAAATAAATTAATCAAGACCTCCAAGTGGCAGACTGCTTGGGCAGGCTCAAGATCGCAGCCAGAAGGTCGTCTCCACTAGTTCTCTAGTTCGGACACAGCCATAACCGAATGCGAGCAAGCCGAGGGCGGTCCCTACTCATTTTCAAGCTAGGAACCAAGAAAAAACTAGACTTATTAAGCACTAGAGGATGTTGTTCCAATAGGGTCCAATGGATGACTAAATCTATATTTTCAAAACACATTCCAGGTTTATAAAAACCATTTCAATAAAAAACCTAGGAGTCATTCTCGAATAATTCTCAAATCCATTTTAATCTAATTAATCTAAGTCTAAAATTAAACCAAAGATTTTAGGTCTTTAGGTCATTACCTTTGTCCTGAGCTCTTGAATGTGCATTGGATATCTATTGATTTGACTTTGACGCTTAAACTCATCATTCCTCAAAGCATTCAAAACTTGATCTTTAAAGCATCACAACCATGAATTTAGGTTGAAATTTACATCAAGACTTCACAAAATTAGCCAATTACAAACATTTTTCTAATAGATACTCTAACGATTAAGTTTAAAACATTGAACTTTCCAATAATATCAGCAGCTTTTTAAAGTCTAATTGCACTTATAATCATCATGCTTGCTCATAGAATGGGGACAAAACAGAACAACCTCACACAATAAAGAAGAAATATCTTTAATGACAATCCTCTATTTAATCTCTTCAAGAAATCAAAGAAAACCTTAAATCCATTAACTCTAAAACCCCAATACAGATTCAAGGGTGGTACCTACTCGTATCAATTGTTCAACAATATCCCCAAGGTAGTCACACAACAGCAAACAGAATATCATCAATACATAAAAAAAGCTTCCCTTGAAATCTCACATTTCGCCCACAATCTCAACAGGGAGATGCACCAGAGGTAGCAATACCACTTTTCCTACCATGATATATTGCCTTCTCAACAATATTCCCATGACATCTAAAGATTATAATTTCAACAGGTTTTTGCCTCATCATGAACCTATTAAGGACCAGACTCAAGTTTGATTTCATGCTTTTACCATTGGGAATACAATGTTCTTTGGTCATTAAACAGACCAAGTAGGGATCAGTAATAGCGGTTTGCTAGGTTGGTTGCGCTCTGATGCAACAGAAAATAATATTTGATAGAGTTAGATGATGCTAAGCTCGGGCCAAAATCCAGAAGGGTTTATGAAGTCAAGACTTGGTTTATCTCTTTATTTTGAGAGGCACTTAATTAAGCATCTTACAACCCTTTTTATATTTCTAGGTGGTTAGGTGATGTCACGGGACAATTCGAATCAAATTAAGAGGTATTACGGGAAGTTCAGTAATAGTTTTAGACAATTAGCAGGAGTATAGACTGTAGGAGATAATAGGCAGTTTATTGTGTTGAGCTTTGAGATTTTTTGGATGAACAACCATTAATGCTTTCTCTAAATCTTTGTTTTTGCCACTTTTAGGTGAATCATCAACTATGTCTCACTCTCTTTCTGTCTATATGTTGTTCTTTGACTCTAGTTTTCTTCAATGCACATATTCTGGAATCAGAGCTAGTTCAGATCCTTGGAAACCACTCTTGGGTTATATGGCAAGGATAGGATAACTAATTGACAGGCAAAGGGAAGAGATTTTGGTGGATTTAAATGTCAAGTGGCTGCCCAATGCAATATGTGCAGAACCTGGTGAAGAAGCAAACTAGTAACGATCATAAGCCATTGAAGAAAATCGACGACTACATCCTAAAGATGTACCGGAAGAAGACTTCAATGAAATACCTGACTTGGAATCTCCACCAGTTTTAAAACTGATGATCCAGAAGAAGATTTCATCAATTCAGTTGTTGATGGAAAGGACGTGGTTGGATATCCATCTAGGAAAGCTCTTTTGCAATCATCCCCATCAATCAATATGAGTATGAAGCAGTGATTGTGGGTCAGGTCAATCTTCCAATTTGATCTCCACATTTTAAAATTTTTATCATCGATAAATTTTAAACTGTCTTACCCAAAACCTTAACTAATGCTCCTAAGGACCAGGGCAATCAGCGGGAAGAAACTGATCACTCAATTTTGTCTTCTGTCTTCATGTTTTTATCCAAGGAACTCCAACTGGAAGCCCAGAATCAACTAGATGAGCCCACAATGTAGAAGTCACTCCTCTGAGTTGTGCTCTCACAAGACTCACTTTTCAATTGGGCAGGTTTTCATTTTGAATCATCAACCAATCAAGAAACCATTTCAGATATTTTTCATTGAATTCAATCAAAATTGGTGAAAAGTCTTCTCAGGCACACCCAATTGTGCTTCTATGTCATTGGTATCAGATAAACCTTAGCACTACTAAAACTATGTTGACGCTCTTCTTCTAATTCTTCTCCTCCTTACAAACCAACACTGCCACATCTTCAACTTGTATGGCTACGACATCTTTAACTGGGATAGCCAACACTTACCTTTCTGTTGTGATAAGGATCATGAAGAGCATGTTCTACATATGATTAGTAGAAGATAAAAAAGAGAGAGACATACATCTGAAATGGTTGTCCACTGCGAATAGCACAATTTTTGGGGAAAAGTATTCAATTTGTTACAACATATATGTCATATTTTATAACTCTACTGTTGCCGTTGTACAAGAAACATTATATGTAGTTAAGTTGTAAATTATTTGGGAATACAGATACAAACTTAAACAAGCGAAATTGCATCAAAACCACTCATTGAATTTTAGCAATGAACAGTAAAATGTGAGGTTTTTGAATTGTGTAGACTAGAAATTCAGGCACCAAGAGAGCAAATTCATTTGGTGAACATAATTACGGACCAAGAATATCCAAATGATAGAATAACTAATGAAATTAATAGTCCTTATCTCCAAGGATCAAAATTTTGTTCCGAAACAATCAAAACGCCCAAAACGTTTTTGTTTCCAAGGGGACCGAAACGAATCAGTGATGGAATTAAAATTCTAATACCTCGAGGTATTCTATAATGTTTCGAGATACTTTGTAATATTTCAATGTTTTTGAACAATTATTTCAGTATGTTTCAAGGTATTTCAAGACAATTTGGTATATTGCGACCAATGTTTTGGAAAAATAATTTTTAATTTTTTTTTTCATTCTATCACTGAAATGGGTCAAAACTTTTCAAAAACAAGTCAAAACGTTTTCATTTCCTAAATGACCGAAACAATGCACAAACACAAAATTTTGATCCTTGCTTATCTTTAGAAATATTGAAATTATTCACCAATATATATTTCTCCAAATTGTCTATAAGTGACGGATATCATGTAGAATATAGCCCATTAATTTAGAACTTAAAAAAAATACAATGACAAGAAAATCTAGTCACAATAACAAAAAGGGGCATCCATGAGACTAGAATCGTATCACTTCATTGACAAGTCAATGCATATGAAAAAGTACCATTAATTATTGTCATTTTGGAAATGACTTGATCTTCAATTTTCATATTAATGACCACTAACTTCTCCAATTTCAGTACCACTTTCGAAGTGCATCAGATTTTGGAATGCAACATTTTTTTGTGTAAGTTGTAATGTAATAATTAAAGAATTAAAGGTCAGCTTTCCAAATATTCTTCTTAGCATTCTGACGGGAACACCAGCACAGATTCCATTAACAATTCGAATTTCACTTGCCCTTCAATCTTTAATTTTGCTCTTATTAGAGATACAAAAAATTCCTTTTTAGTCCTTAGCTACACAAGACCAAGATGATAAAATAACTTCAGCCTATCTTTTAATTACACATCACTTATAGCATTTTCATAATAAGAGAAACTTTTAGCAACGCATGATAAAACATTGAAGTGATCTCCTAAAAACAACATAAATTTTCTCTGCAAGCTTAAATATAGATAATTATAAGTTTTTAGATGTAAAATGACTCAGGCAACCCTCAAAATCCTTGAAGAATAATTCTCATATGAAAAGCAGTGCTGCAATGTAATTGACAAGAAGAAGATGGCAAAAACAAAATAATTTCTTTCCGACCTTTGGACCTCTTATCTTCATTGGAAGCCAATGGAGTTCTGTTAGTCTGGGGAGATGGTGCATCTTCTTGTTGGGTTGGTGGCACAATTCGAACATCCAAATTAATATTGGAAGTAGACAAACCTGCACAACTTATAGAAACTTAATAAAAACAATGAATCATCATGTTTTACTGCCTTCATCAGCATTCCTCATGAAAGCAGTATGATAACAGAAATTCAAGACCTCCAATAAAGACAATCAATAAATTAAGAAACTTATCTACTAAATCACATAGGATAGTGCACTAGACATGTCAAGCTGCAATTAAGTAGAAGAACAAACATCAAAAAAGCAATGTGTGGTCCATAGTGTATTAGCATTTAGCACTAGTGCATTATTCTTAGAGACAAAAAGAAAATGAAAGGAAAATAAACAAGAAAAGGCTCTGTACTTCAAAATTTATTCAGTTCTAAGGGCCAAAGTAATAAAGATACAATGAAGAAAGTTGCCAAAAAGTGATACCTAAACAACATTCTTATGCCACATTCAGGGTGGTTTGTGCTTGTCGTAAAAGCAACCAAATAAGTGTGGCGGCCTTCTTCAAGAGCTTTAACATTAAATATTCCTTACAGCAACATGAATGACATGCACCACTGCAGACCTAGCCGGGTTGGGTTCAGGTGGCCTCCACGAGGCTTATTCTTTCCTCCCCATTGTGAGATCACACGCTCCAAGAAATGAATGACGTAGAAATGTTCACCAATACTGCTTGTCTCATGGTAAACGGCCATTACTTGGTGCAATAGCAAAAAGGTCAGATTGCCAAGCTGAAGATCTAGGGCAGCCACTTCACACAAATAATGTTTGTCCCCATTATATTATCCCACATGACAATCACACCCATCTAGCCATAACAGTGCTTTCAAAATCTATGACTGGAGAAATAACAACAGACAACACAGCTGTTCGATGGTCACAGGAATTCTCCCAGTCCACCAAACCCCCCCCCCACCCCCCAAAAAAAAAATTCCTCACCTAGTGAGATTACTACTGATAGTATCCTAAAATTAGAGGCAAGCAAAATCCTTATGCGAATTGATTTCTAAAATCCCCAAATCCAAAACATTAAAAAAGATTTTGTCTAGAGTGGTCAATGATTCATTTTTATTTTTGCTTTTTGCATATAATTTCATGCAGAAACCCATCACTAACAGCTTAATGCACAAGGCTCCCACCACGTCAGCGCAGACAGTCTTACCATAAAGAGGCTGGTTCCATGACTCAGTCCTATGATACAAGATAAAATTCAACCAACAAATCACTACATATAACCATTGCATAGCTTATTCTTCGACAACTATTGCAGAACACAACAAAATCACAGATTAAAGGTCAAGTAGTTCAAAGCCAACTAGTCAACGACAATACATTAAAATGTTTTAAAATACTTTGGCATGAAATGTATACAGATAGAATATCTGTATGATTACAAAGAGATGCACACAAGATTTCGTTCATACCAGAGCACAACGGACTTGGATAACCTCGAACAAGTGGTAAATCGCGTATTTGTTTTTCAACGGCTTTAGCGGCAGTGAAGTGATCGAATGCGAGTTTGGCAGCTTGATTCTGGGATTCCTTAGAGGATCTACATTGATCCTTTGGAACCTCAAAAGTCAGGCCATTAACAACCACCGTGGAGTTAAACCTAGGGTTGTGATCGGGACCGTCTTTCACGGTCGTATACGCCGGCAAGTTCCATGAGTACTGGTGACAAAGCTCCTGAAGCTTCGTTTTGTACATTTCTTCCTACAAATTCTTCGGAGAGAGAGAAGCTGGTCTTTGATTTTAGGGCTTGTAAAGAGAGCAACGAGAGGGAAGAGAGGACGATAGGAGAGAGAGAGAGAGAGAGAGAGAGGTAAGGAGTACAGTGAAGATCGAAGAGTCTGGCGATGCATTGCAGGTTTTTGTTCGTATTAAAGATCGGATAAGAACGCACGGCCTCGGAATGGTAAATTACACTTTATCCCCTTAAACTATTATCCTTATTTTACTTTACACACTCAACTATAAAATTTCTCATATTATACTCTCAAGTATCATTTTTGTTACATATCACTCCAATTGATAACGAATTTCAATTTTTTAACGTTAAATGCGTATGCGAATGGTCTATATTACTAATAAATAACTGCCTATTGCACATGTACATGTCAAAAATAAAAAAAAATACATATCCGTAATTTTACACTTTCTAAACTCTAAATTTTCTTCATCTAACCAATTATCTTTTTCTTTTTAACAATTATTTGGTTGGAAAAAGATAAAATAAAGTGGTATTAAGTACTTAATGAAAAAAAATTAGAGTTTTTAGATTTTCAAGTTTGTTGTCTTTTTCTTCTCAACAATCATTTAGTTGAAAAAAGATAAAATAAAGTGGTACTAAGTACTTAATGGAAAGTTCTTTAGGGTTTTTAGATTTTCAAGGTTATTGTTATTTATTAGAATGATATGAAAAAATATTGATATTGTAAAGTATAATGTGACAAATTGTATAATTAAGGGTGTAAAGTAGAATAAGAATAACAGTTTAGGGAGTAACTCCGTAGAAAAATCATGGTTGGGCGTTTGGTGCGGAACAGTGGGACCTACTAAGGGTCAAAATCACCTTTAGCTCAGCGGAAAATGCTACAGCGTCCTTCGAGCCGAAAATTATAAGGGGTGGTTAAGTAACTCTCTGCTTTTGCCTTCCGTAACTTTTTGTTTTTGCCTTTTCAAAAAAATGAAAAATAGAGATAATATTTTTTTTATTTTGTGATAAATATTGAAAATAGAAAATATGTTTATGAGTTATTTGTAGCTATCAAATTATATAAATAAAAATAAAAAATATTTTTGAAAACCAATTCAAATTATATCTTTTAAGTCACCTGTTTTTTCTTTCAACAATACTATTAAGACTTAACAAATTAAATTAATTTGATGAATTAATGATATGATCAATAATATACATTACTTTTTTTTTTTTTACAAAATTATAATGATTGAAAGAGTGATCTGAATGACAATTCAATCTCAATCTCAATTCAATACATTACTTTAGTCTCAAATGATAACTCAATCACATTCTCAATTCAATCTCAAATCGTAATTCAATTTGACTCCTAATTCAATCTCAAATACAGCACACAACACACACACACAGAGCACAACACAATCAGCACACAACACACATACAGAGACAGCACACGAAACACACACACCTAGAACACATAATGCAACGCACAGAATACACAAATCTATATATATATGTGTGTGTGTGTGTATAGAGAGGAGAGGAGAAGAGATGAGAGAGGGAGAAAGAGAAGGTGATTGTCCCCGTTGGTGAGAGAGACAATCGAAAGAGTGAAGCGGCGATGGAGATGGAAAGGGCTAATGTGACTAAAGTGAGCTTCGATAGTTCCACGAAAAAATGCTTTTTTTTATTGCTAAGGAAGTTTGAAACTCAAATCTCATTAACTCTCCTAACCTCGGGGGGCGCGTGTTTCCATTTTGTCTTGTTTTCGAAAACATTTATTTTTGTTTCTTATTTTTGAGCCTTGTTTCCAAAACAACATATTTTATATAAAATAAAATAGAAACACAAACCTAACGATGTATTTATTTTTGTTTTACTCAAAAATTGAAAATAAAAACAAAAAACACAAAAACAAAAACGTCAAACATCAAACATATAGAGTCTAAATTTTTAAGGTTGTTATAATTTTTTTGAGTTAGAATACCTCCAACCATGACTCAAATTTAAACTCAAATATCTACTCAATTCTTTTAAAAAAATTTCTTACTATTCCAAAACTCATTTTTTTGTGTCTTTCAAATCATGATTTTTGATATGATAAATAAAACTTTCATATCTCTCCATAAATGAGTAATTCAAAAAAAATTTGAATATGTATAGAACACTACATGAGAATAACAAAATCACTTCGGAATTCTAAGTTTGTTCTAATCCCTTTATCATTGGCTATAAATTCAAATAAATAAATAAAAAGTATAACTATTTTGACTCGAGTTGTATGAAGAACACAAAAATATATGTTTTTAACAAAAAATAAAAGTTTGAAGAAATAAAATGACGAATTTTCTAAATTTGTGGATAGCGAAGACTTAAAATTTTAGGAAGAATCGGTGGCCTAAAATTGTATTACTGATAGTGTTTAACTCGAAAAAATCAGAGAAAATTTTGATAGATATGCTTAGGTTTATATAGTATGAAAGATAGATGAGATTGGAGTTCTGAAAAATACAATAAATCAAAGAATATGAAAGATGAAAAAGAAAAAAACTTATTTTCAATCCTTCAAATAATGTGTGAAAGTTTCAGTGGTGGTCGACAATGGAAACAACGTAGTAAAGAGAGGCAAGAAGAGACTGAGAACAAGTCGTCGAAAAAGTTTTTTACTTTTGGATATATTAAAAAGTTACGGTTAGAAATTTGATATAGAATTTAAGTTTGCTTTAATTTGGATCTAGAATAAATTTTGTCTTGATCTGGTATAGGTTTGAGTCCATGGTTGAAGAAGTTTTTTGCACCATTTTAACTCAAATTTAAATTTGAGTCTACATTTGAGTCAACATTATAAATCTATAATATAAAACAGAGCGAGACTTCAATAAGTCGATCGTACGGTCTTCATTCATTCAAAGGCTTCAACATCCAAAGGCTCACAATACATCTCATTCAAATTCAAAAGTCCATATATTTTTCCCCTAAATCCATTTGATTCAACTTAACCCAACTCAACCATCACATCCAACCCGACTTAACCAAACCTAACCATCACATCTAACCCAACCCAACCTAAGATCTGTTCTCTCTCATGTCCTCTCTCTCCCAGATCGGCACTTCCCCCAGATCTGTTCTCTCTCATGTCCTCTCTCTCCTAACGGCTCTTCCCCCATATCTCTTCTCTCTCATGTCTTCTCTTTCATCTTAGTCTCTTCACTATTAAAGAGCAGGCAGCGAGAGACAGCGGTCACTTCTCCAAAATTCATGGCATGGTCACTTCCCCTCCCTTTCTCTCTCTTCCCCATCCCCTGCCCCCTCCCCCTAATTTTCTCCCCAAACACATAGACACTAAGTCTCTCTCTCTCACCATCGCCAAAACTAGAGGTAGAGCCACCATAGCCATTGCACTAGAGCTAGAGAAACCATGCCACAACGCCCTCTTCTCCCAGGTATCCTTCTTCTCTTCTTCTTTTCTCCCCACCATCCTTGTTTTGCGCAAAAATCAGATCCCTCTTTTACTCATGGTGGTTTGATTTGGGCGATGGTGGTTTGATCACACCCATCCTACCCCCCGCCTCTTCTCTGCACTCTGCTACACACTCATCACTCACACTCACTCACACACAAATTACACACACACCCAAACAAACTCAGACCCATCACACACACCCAACAAACTCAGACCCATCACACACACGCCCAACACAGACCCACCATAATCTCTTAGGTAGTAAAATTTAATGGATGCTGAGTTGGGTTTACAATGAACGGCTTTATAAATTTTGAGTTTAGTGAATAATAGGTACAAGAGGGGTTGGATATTGGGAACTTATTTTCAATGCAAGAGAAATGTGGCTTGATTGTACCAGTAATAATGCATTTTTTTTTGTTTCCTTGATGTGTCTGCCTGATTTCTGATCCCTTGCATGTGTTTCTTAGTCCCCCAATTTTGGTATATATAGATCTTTGGTAGTCATTACCTTGTGTATCTGGGTCCCAATTTTCATTGCTTAGTTGTTGAAAATGCAGTTCTGGAATTCAGTATGAGGTGTTCATCGATGATGGCTTGTGATCTTAAGAAAATAGTGCTTTTCACTTGGATTCTTTCTCTTGGAAACCCATAAGAGAAACAAATTGGTGAGCTACAAATATAATCACACAGCATCACTGTTCATATAGGAATGAATCTGGACTCTAGAGATGTGTTAGGAAACCCATAAGAGATAGCGTGTTTCACTGTTTTCTGATTTTCCTTTTTTAGCAATTTAGCTTATTTATGTGTTCCACCTCAACGCAAAGAGGCTCACACTCAACACAGATCTACACGCACCGAGGCTCTCTCTCTCTCTCTCTCGCACTGAGGTTTTAGTTATCTCACACTCAACAACATCATTTTTTCTGAATTTATTTCACGCACTGAATTTATTTCACTTTCAGGCAGTTTCAGCTGTTTTCTCAGTCCTCGATGCAAGATAAGTTTATTTCTAATATTTGAGATTACCTTTTCTGAACTGTAAGTTCCTAAGTTTCTGAACTGTACTTCTTATGAAGACTTTATATTTCATGTAAAACTACTCAGTATATTATTGGGTTGACCTTAATTTTGTTCAAGGTTACATGTTACTATTTTTTTTCGTGAGCATTTTAATGACTTTTCTCCTATGCATTATCAACTGTCAATATTGGTTCGACCTCTAATTTTGTCCAGTTTTCTATGTTACTACTTTTGCAAAATTTAGATCACCCACACACACACACACAAGCACAATTTGCAAAATTTTGAGTGTTAATTTCGTTGTTTAGAATGTTTGTTTCTTCTTGGCTGCCAATTGTGAATTATTTTCTAGACTTTGAGTTGATTTTTAATTTTTATTTAAATTTTTTTGTAGACTTTGGTGTCTGTCATGAATGAATTGAATAATCTTATTCTCAAAAGAAGAGGAGATGCAATATGGGCAGCGAGAAGACTCAACAGATCTGGGGTGTATGTGATTCACCAATAAGGTTTGTGTTTTGGTAGGGGTTTTCTTTAAATTTCAATTCTATATAATTAACACCTTTCTATGTTACTACTTTGCGA